AAGAGTTCTAATAATCCTGTGGCAAAAGTGCGAAGCTTGAAATTCTGTTGAAGACAGCCACAAAAGAATAGGTTTGTTTTATCATATGAAGTCCAAAATGGATTATGCTTTGTAAATACTGTGATTTGGTTTGTAGAGGAGGATAAGAAAGATAGTTCCTTAATTAATGCAAAGGTGGACTATTTTAAAATTAAGCAGTATACCTAAATCTCTTAAAATTCTTAACTACTAAGAAAAACTGGATATGTCAGAACCATTTTTGAGAGTGTTATGTTAGAAAGCCTAACTTGCCTGCTCAGCTTGCTTTTGCTTTCTGATTTTATTGATGTTACAAGACCAGTATGTTTGGGATCAGTCACCTAAGTAGAAAAACTGGCACAGGGAAGTATGGTAGCAGTGGATGAGGCCAGTTTAGCTTGCTTGTTATTTATGCAGAAAATAAAGAGAAGATAGATGTTGTTTTGTTGTGTTTTTTTAATAGGGATTTTCCCATGTTATTTTTTGTTGGCATTTTGGTAAAATAAGGTAAAATCAGAACAACTTGAGCTGTATATATCTAGGATTTTATTCCAAGCACCAGTATGACTGTTCTAATTACAGTACTAAGCATATTTTTACCTTTGTAAAAGGAAGGATTATTGCTTCATGATTTCTTAGCCCTTATTTCCTTGAGTGCTTGTTTTCACAAAATAATGTAGTTTGGTCATGAGTCTTTTAGGAGGTTGCAATATAATTTGTTGTCAGGTATTTAAAAATGACTGTAGATACAGTAAGATGGAAGAGGAAGTTGCATGGTGTACTGTTTTGTACTGTTTTATCTATTTACTGCAGTGATATTTCAAAGAGGAGGAACAAATTGCATGGCACTATGTAAACCTCAGGATGCTTCAGCTGATTCACTGCTTTAATTGTTAGAGCAGTGTTTAAAATCGCTGTGAGAGGCTGTTTCTTCTTTCACACTAACCTTTGATACGACAAATTCAGTTTGACTACTGCCCAGTTACATGATTGAAAGAATTATTGGCTACCTGTTCTGAGTACAAACTTACACAGACTTCTGAAAATGGGTATGGAGTGTGGCTAGATAACACAGGAAAAGTATTCCATGCCTTTGGGGAAGCTGATACTTTCTTTAGCAGTGTTCAGTGTGGTGTTTGAAAGGAGGAAGAGGATGTAATTGAGGCTTCCTTCTTTCAAATGCCATTTCACTGAAAAATGGTCACATAACAGAAGTTCTTTTAGCAAATGTAATTTTGCCCCCCCCCCCCCGAAACTGTGAATGATAAAAACATTTGGGAGATCATGTTAAAATATACTAGCTTTATGCAAATCAGAAGCAAAATCTGCTTGTCACATGATTTGTAATTATCAATGCATATCTTGTAAAGCTTGAAGCACTAACTGATTCGTTGTATGCTGGTCTCATGTTGCTAATTGTAGCTGAAAGACTTGTGGATTTTTTCTGTCTTACTTAACAGTGTTGAAGTGTGGGGAGGGTATATGTACATGCATGCTGCCATAAGTTAATAATGGTATTAAAGAAATAAGGAGTCTGTAGTAGATGGGATATATTACATCAATGAGTTGAGTATTCTGGGATTCTGGAGTTCTGTGGGATTCCGTGAACAGGGTATACACGGGCGTGGAAGGGAAGTTCAGCTTGGATACAAGGAAGAAGTTCTTTACTGTGAGGATGCTGGAGCACTGGAACAAGTTGCCCAAAGAAGTGGTGAATGCTCCCTCCCTGGCAGGTTCAAGGCCAGGTTGGACAGAGCGTTGGGCGACATGGTCTAGGGTTAGCCATCCTTGCCCATGGCAGGGGGGTTGGAACTAGATGATCTTAAGGTCCTTTCCAACCCTAACCATTCTATGATTCTATGATTCATAGTTACAGACTTGAAACTTAGGAAATCTGGGTTCTGTTCCCATCTCTGACTCAATTCCTGCTGTGATTACAGTCAAGTGACTAAGGTTGTTATGGATGTGTCCTTTTCCACACACAGCTCTGATAAATGAAGAGGTTTTTGTCCCCAGCCTGCCTGGCTTGTGCATTGCCATCTCCATAGATCTGCTGACTGCACAGCTTCTGTGCTTACTCTGTGGTAAATTTCAGCAAAACAGAGGTCAGTGTGTCTAGACTGAAATTTTAAGCTGTTTTAACTGCACAGCTGCACCTGTAAACTCATATGACCAGAGATGTGATTTGGAAAATAGCTTCCTTGTTTTTAATCAATTGAGTGTGCTTCAGCAGAGATATTCCACTGATAGAAGTTCTTCTGCAGTTAGGCTTGAGTTGTATGGAGCTCTACACTATTCATAACAAAAATGTCACTAAACTCATCAACTTTCAGGTATATAAAAAGTTCAGTGATACACTAGTCACTCTGAAAGTGATGTGGAGATTAGTATTTATCACAAGTGACTGCCTGTTGCTTTCTTTGCTTTGTATGGTTTGGTTGTGTTTTTTTTGTTGTTGGTTGCTTTGTTTTGGTTTTTTCCTTGCTTTACGTGCGATTTAGAGTAGAGGGTTTTCAGGCTGTAGAATATGACTTTCCAAAGTGAGGATGTCTAGCAATTTGTGAGTGAGACATTTTCTGAGAGAAGAAAGAGCTGTGTATGTAGCCTTATTAATTAAGCACATTTTTTCTTGCATGCAAAACACTTTTGTTGTGGCATCATTTGGAAATAATGTGTCACTAATGTCAAATATCCAAAATTTTAAAATTTTGTGTCAGCATTTAATAGATACTTTAAAAAAAAAACCACCTTATTTTCATTCTTGCATCTCTTCTTTTAAAGTCATGAGCAGTTCTTTTCTTCCTGTGTCTGATGTCTATGTATATTTTTCCCTTCCTTTTCCATATCTACTTTTTGTCTCCTTGCTCCACTCTTATCTTTAAACAAGCTTTCACATTGGAGCATGTGACCAGAGCAGCCTTCCACAGCTTGTCATCTAAAGTTTATTCTCCTTCAAATCTCTTTGAAAAATCTCCTTTCCTTTCTTTCTCCCTTCTTTCTTCTGGACCTCTTCCTTTCTGAAGGAGAATGTTTCTGTAGTAATGATGCAAATAAAAAAACAAAGTATTTGAGAGGATTTTATGATTAGTCATTTGCTTTAAAATGACACCATCCTGAATGTGACCATACTTAACAACCTGTATTAGAGATAGTCATGAATTAAAGGAAATTCATGGTTGGTTAAACCAACCATTTTTTATGTAGCTCATTGTGCTTGCTGTTCATCATCCTCTGTAGTTAACTGGTACAGAAGTATCTTCCGTTGGAGTTCTGCAAAGTGTCAGTTTTTATTTGATACAGATCAGGGTCTGAGCCTGGTTTCACAAGTGGAGCAACACAACTGCAAACGTAATTTCCTCACCTCTAGCAATGAAATTGGTGATGTCCATTCACTTGGCATCGAAGAACAAGGAAATTGTATACAGTACAGAGTTGGTTCTAAGATTAGGAATGCGTGATGCTCACACTGAAATTCACCACTTTCTGGACAATCGTTGATTCCTTATCAAATAACTTAATTTCACTAGTTTGTTACATGTCTTATAGCTTTTTTTTTTTTTTTTTTTAGTTTTAGTAGCTTTTTTTTGGCCTGCATTATTACTGGTTTACTGTCTTGCTTATTGTATTTTGCCATCACCTGCTTCTCCAGGTCAGTACACTAGAGCTTGGAAGAGTTCTGGTGAGTCATGTAGCCCCAGGAAAGGCTCAATTAAAGATAGACTTGAATGACCTAGATAGAAGCCCTTGTGTTACAGAGACATTGCAACCTTCCCATGTGACTTATTTTGGTTTTTAATTGTTTCTATAAGGAAGGATTTTTTTTCTGTTTTTTTCAATATCCAATCTTAAGTTTTCCTAGCTTCAACTTAAGCCTAGTTCTTCTTTCTTCAGATCACCCCTTTTCTCAGTGGAACACTCTTTTATATATCAGAAGATGTGCTAGTATATCCCAAGTTTCCTCTCCTCTAGGGCTAAATGATCCAATTTGATTGCACTTGTCTTTTTAGATTGTTCAGCCTTGCATTATGTGTCATGTTTTTAGACTCTCCTGCGGATCATGGTCCACTCCTCTGGATACTGTCCAGTTGGTTCGCAGTGCTTCAGTTGTGGCTCCCACTCCTCCTCCAGCCTCCTTAGTACCAAAGACCTTCTTCTTAATGGGATGACATTACTGACTCACATTAAGCCTGTAATCAGCTGTAGCCTTTTGATTGCCATCTTCAGAACTGTTTATACAGGCTTCTACTCTCTTTTTGTAGATAAAGTCAGTTGTATCTAACTGCTGCATCTTTCAATGTTCTGTGTGTGTGGTTGGTCAAGGTGATTTTGAAATTTTTCTTTTCATTTGGAGTTCTTGCAGTCCTGAGGTGGTGTCATCTGCAGATTTAACACCTGTATTCCCCTTTCCCCCACAGAGTTGATGAAAATACTAACTAGTAGACCTGAAACAGGGCTTTGGTTCCACGGGATCGTCTGTTTTGGCAAGAAACTATTGATCAGTATTTGTGAGGTGTTTTTTTTTTGTTGTTGTTAGGGTGTGTTTTTTTTGGTGGGGTTTTTTTGTGGTTTGGGTTTTTTTTAATGTGTCTTCTGGTGGTGATGTTAGGAAATCACATTTGACATTAGACAAAATATTAGTTCTTGGAGATAGAACTTGTTTGGAAAAATACTGTTGTCTAGGCACATGCAAATGCTTTTTTGATTTTAAGCTGGTGGGAATCTTCAAAATCCAGTTACTGCAGCATACTAGTATGACTTTTTTCTTAATCTTTTATTTTTATCATAATCTGTTTCATTAGGGTTATCAGGAGCATGGCTGTGAGGACAGTGATTTACATGTTAATTTTGTTTCCTATTCAGAAGCCACTATTCTAAAACTGCTGCTTGGTATCTGGATGTCATTTTTCAGGACAAAGATAATTTTATAAAACTACAGTTAATAAAACAGGTTTGGTGTTGTTTTTTTTAAATTTGTGTTTTAGGGTTTTGACCCACCGCATCAAAGCGATACAAGAACTATATATATAGCTAATCGTTTTCCCCAGCATGGCCATTATGTTCCTCAGAAGTTTGTGGACAACAGAATAGTATCATCCAAGGTAAGGAATAAGTTTGGCATGGGAAAGCCGCTTGTAATTAAGAAGTTGTGTGGTGAATGTGTGCATGTGTGTATTATGTCTCATAATGCATTGACAATATTAAAAATGAAAGAAACTAACCTTTTTTGAGGAAAAAGCTAGGTTGTTTCCTGTTTAGTTTTTCTGCTGCTCTTGTGCCTGTTTCCTCAGACTTTCACTAAGTACAGAACAATTAAGCATGTTGGTCAGAATTTTGTAAGAAAAGTAGGTTTTAAACCATTGTTAATTGTGTCTGGATGTGATGCACAGAACCACTTTTAGAAGGAAAGATGAAGCTGGTTGCGAAGATTTATAAAATAGCCAAAATGTAAGCTAGTACTCTGCATAAAATAAATCAGCAATGGACTGCAATTGCAGATTCCCTCCTAGTGTGACTTTGGATTGAAATCAATAGAACTGATGGTGGGGATGTGTGTTGTCACTGTGGTGTAGGACAAAGTTACAGATACAAGAATTAATTTGTCCTCTGCTAGCCAGGATGCAAGCAGACAAATAACTCCAGCTGCTCCTGTCCTAGTTGGTAGGAAAATATTGAAAACTTGTGACTGTAAAGGCAGTTGCTACCCCTACTTCCCTGCTACCTGTATTTTGAACAAAAAAACAACCAACCAACCGAAAGAAAACAACCTACCCAGAACCCAAAGGGTATAGTAGTTTTCTGTGAGAGTAGAGCAAGACCAGATGGTTTGAGGGAGGGGATATGGAAAATGAAAAGATTTAGCTGAATTTCACTGAAAAATTGTTCAGTATGTCATAACTGTTCTCTCTCTCCCTTTCTCCCCTTCAGTATACGGTGTGGAATTTTGTTCCAAAAAACTTATTTGAGCAGTTCAGAAGAGTAGCTAACTTTTATTTTCTGATTATATTTTTGGTTCAGGTAAGTTAAATAATACTCCGGAAATTGCAATTTATGTTGTAAATTCTGCTATTGATTTTTGTTCTGTGAATTTAACTTCTCTACTTATGCATTCTGTCTCTAAAAAAAACCAGCACATTTGCAGTTTCCTTTGGAAAAAAGCGTAATTTAAAAAAAAAGTATGTCCAAAATTATGTACTGTCTTTAGGTTTTATCTTCATGAATGCTAATGTTTTTAAGTGTGCAGCTTCTAAGTCCATTGCATGCCAGCTAGGAACTCAACTGTCTGCAGTTTTTAATCCTGTGTCCCTTGCTCTTTCATGTTTAGAAAGAATTAACTTTATAACAGGCTGAAAATTCCTGTGTTGGGAGTTACTAAAATCATACAGTTCTAACTTAGTTGAACAGAATGTGTTGCCCATTCCATCCTCCTAGTTAAAAATACTGACTTTGTCATTCCTGTTACGATGTTTCGTGCTGTTTAATATTATAACTTGAGGAAGATGGGGGTATGCTGGAGATGAAACATAAATGTTACTTAAAGTAACTATGGACAGTGTTGCGTTTTTCAGGCTTTTATTTCTTTTCAGTACAAATTTACCACTTTAGTTGATTTTTGAGTCATATTCTCTTCAAGCTGTTAGACTTCAGTAATTTCTAAATGATGCCCATGAAAAATTCAGATCTAAAGGCAGAACTACTCAGAGTGTAATCCTTTTATAGCAGTTTGTAACTCAAGTGAGTGCCCTAATTTGTGTGGGAAATGTGTATATGTCTGTATTCTTGGAAATTAAATGGGAGAAAAGCTGTGTTTTTGTTCATTTGTTAGGGTGGAATTCTGGTTTTATTGAAATCCTGTTTGGAAGTTCATTAGCATCTAATATTCTTTTCTTTTTATGAGGCAAATGTACCTTTAAAAGTTGATCACCATGGTATCTTCTCTGTCATACGAATCTCATGTGACCAGGATGCAGTGTTTGTCATTACCACTGTATTCCACTGTGGATGACAGACCTGAGGCAGGTTTTCATTATATGATTTAAACATGCAGCACAATTCAGTCCACGTTATTTACCACACTGATGCATGCCAGAAGCATGGTGACAGACTGCATTTTGGTCCTCTGAGGCTCCACACCAGTTGTGTGGTGGATGTGTGTCCAGCTATGTAGCAGACAAATGGCCATGGTGTTCTGGTGAAAGAGGCAAAAGGAGCAAGCTGCCATGACAATTCCACTAGCACAAAACTTGTTCCATTTTCATATATTAGCCTCCCTTGAGAAAGGAGGAGAGTGTAGATGGCAAAAATGGCATGGGAACCCTATCCAGCCAAAAATCAGATGCTTTTGGCATGGATTTTCTTGGACAACATGCTGCCAAGCTAAAATTGCAATGCTACAGTTGAAGAACAGACAATATTGCAGGCTAGATCTGATTTTTTTGCTGTGTTCTATAAACAGTCTCAGTGAAGAAAAAAACAAGCTCATTTGCATGGTCAGATGGCATAATCTGTGTTCTCTCTGAGGTTCTTGGCTCTTAACAGAGTAAACTTCATGTATGACTGTTGTGTTTTTTTTTCTTTAATGGTTCCCAAAGCAATGCCACAAGTCTCAGGTAAAGTGGATCAAATTGATGTCTGTGGTTTTGAATTGTTATTGTGTATATTTTCTTTACAGCACTTGACCATGTTGGTTTCTATCTGCAGCAGAGGCAAACCACTAACCTCCCCCCCGCATACAGAATTTTAGTGTACACAATGCACTTTTGGCATGCCATCAGTAATAGCACAAATTGAAAAACTGCATGTTAATTTGGTGGAACCGGACAGGAGCAGTCTAAGAAAGTGTTTTCTAATAGCTAAGCTGTTGTAAATTACTATTTTAAACTATTTTCATTTCTGAAGTGGATGTTGTTATACTCTACATTGCTCTTAATCAGTAGATTGTATAGAATATTGAAACAGCTTCACAAAATCTAGGTTTCCTTCCTTTGTAATATAATTTTGAATTCATCTTTGTAGGACGAAAACATGCTAAGGACTCTTAAAATTGGCACATGTGCTATAAATGTGACCAAGCGTTCTCTGCCTTAAAACCTTTGTTTGCATCATTATTAACATCATCAGGAACTGAGTTTTGCTCCAGAAATACTGCAGAACATGCAGTAAAAATAATCATAATGAGGAGTTTGAAAAAATTACAATTATAAAAATAAAACTGAGTCTAATTTTTATATTTTCCTCTCTTCTAGCTCATGATAGATACCCCTACCAGTCCTATTACCAGTGGATTGCCATTATTCTTTGTCATAACTGTGACAGCCATAAAACAGGTAAAGGGAAAAAAAACTTGTAGCACAAAGACTTTCTAAGGTAAAATTAGTTAACAAAGTTTGACCAACGTATTGTTTAGATACTAAAAATAAATAAAAAATGTGTCATTTTTACAAAGGGTTTTGTATTTTATGTTTCTTGTTAGATGCTTGAACTTGAGCATTTTTTTAGTTGTCAAGCACTCAGTGACTGGTACCCTTAAATGGACAGTGAATGACTTGTCAGACAGCATTTTTGTCTAAGCGACGTTGTAAGACCTTTTCTGAAAGCTTGTCACTTATTCTTTTGGCACAACTCGCTACGTATTAAAACCAGTCCTCACACACTGAAAGCTTGGGTAGATTAAGCAACCCGTGTTTGTCAGTAGTTAAAAGGCAAATTTTGCCCAAGGAGTATGTTTCATGATATGAAATGTATATTAAGTGTAATCCTGTACCAGGTAAAAATCCAGTTTAGAAAGCTTCTGATTTTGTTTTCTTTTTCTTTGATTACATAAAACATTTTGGAGTGCTTTATAGCACTTGAAATAACAATAATCTGCTGACTTTAATAGAAATCTGATTCAAGCACCATACCATATCCTACTAAGACCTAGGTGCCCCGGAAAGAGAATGTTAAAAAGAAAAACAAAAAGGAAGAAAAAACCAGAAAAAGAAAAATCTTCTGTTTTCTTTAAACCCTTAGAGCAAGAAGAGAAAGAAACAAGCACATAAATAAAGAGGTGATGTGGGTAAAACTATAACTTATTCTGCAGGGAGGTAATTTTCAGGAATTATCCCTTTCCAAGGGTTTGACATTGCTGTCTGGGGAAAAGATGCAGTCATAGCAACTGAAAAGTAAGCAGGAGACTGTTAAAGACCTGCAGCTGGAATTTCAATTTGGTTTGTGCCAGTAAGACCCAAAGACAACCTGAAATAGGGCAAGGTAAAAATAACTCTAGCTTTCAAGTGGATAGAATGATGTTTGGGGAAGAGGGAATCTTAATGCTGGAGTAATACTTGAATTAACATTTCCTCTTGTTTCTGTGCAGTTTGTATGTATAGAGTGCCCTAATCCTGTTCAGTTGCATCATCACCCCCAAAAGTCACATGTTCAAGAGCTGTGGCAATAAGTAGGCAGTAGAAAATATCCATTAAAGCTGTGTGAACTGAAAGGTTGTGCAACTTAGTCAAAAGGGTTTGGTGGTTTTTTTTCCAGAAAGAGGTTGGACTTGTGTGAGTCTAAAATAGTCCAAAATAAGCTTATCATTACCTTGTTTCCAGATGTGCACTCTTGTGTTTAGGTATCTTACTGTTGACTGTAAAGAGCAGATTCTGACATTTTTTCTAGAAGTTTCAAATCATTCATGACTTCCTAAGCATCACAGGTTTTTCTGACTGTCTTAATGTCTCTGCAAGGATTATTGGAACCACCTAAATTGGTATAATGGACTCTAACCTTTATCCTACCTGCTACAAAGTAGGCAAACAGTATTCACAAGCTATTATCTTGGAAAGACACTTCACTGTGCTATTTCCAACAGGCTGTCCTGAGAAAATGAAGAAAGGTAAATCTGCTGTTGGAATGCAGGAGGGAAAACACCCAGTATGGTCTCAAAACCAGCTCCCAATTCGTCAGACCAGAAGTGGAATAGGAAACAGATCTTTAGGGGAAGAAACTCCTTCTGAAAGCTGCGGTGCACTGGTTCTGTATAAAGTTTCAGCAAGATAAATGTTAACTATAACCTTTTAGTATCTTAAAAGATGAAGGGGGAAAAATAGAAGCGTTAACTGTATGCAGGTTTGAGAAGCTTAGTAGTGGATATAAAAACTCTCCTGTTTCCAGAAGGCTAGTTAATGTGGCACCTCTAGGAAATCTCAGCTTTACTTTAATCTCAGCCAAGGTGATTGAACTTTCTCTTCTTATCAGTGTAATTGCACCTTGGACAGAAGGACATACAAGACTGCAAAGTGGTGCAATTCATGCTGTGTCATTTTGTCGATCTTGTCAGCCAGAGCACTTTCCTCCTTACACTTGTGAAGATGCCTGTGCAGTCCTCAGAGGAGTCCAAAATTAGAAAATAAATAAAACAAAAATGAAAGTTGAAAATAAAACCACAAAACAAAATTGAACAAAATAAAGGTATTTCCTAAGGAACTTTTGAAAACTTAGTCCATTTCAATAGTTTCATAGGCATTTAGCAAATAAGCTGATTGGGCATAGATGTTTACACAAATGTCAGGTAAACTGCAAGTTTTGATTAAATATAGACCTAACTGAGAATGAAAAACCTGCTAATATAATATGCAGGCCTGTTTGTTTTTTTGTTTTGTTTGTTTTCCTCTAAGTACATTGAAGCAGTTATTCAAGTAGGAGTTAAGAATATAACATAATTGAGGGTTTTAAATCTTTTGTTTCTGTTCATGCAATTAACCAGCATTCCCTGTACTCCAATTGAATATTTCTTTTTCACAGTGTTTTTGCAGTATTTGCCAGTGAGGATAAAACTCTCAAAAATGCTGCAGTAGGTAATTTTGGGGGAGATTGAAACTGACCAGAGTAAGTTAAGAATTCCCTGGTGTGAGGTGTCACACTTGTGTTTTAGACAATAGGGGTCATATGGAGAAAGCACTGGAATCTGTACTTTCTAAAGAAGATTAATTTCAGTTCTTTGCCAAATGCCCATATTGTGCAGCTGTTCAGGTTTATGAGACAAATGCCTCAAGGTTACTGGATGTTAGTTAAATCCTTGTTTTCTTCTGTCAGTCACCTTTAACAAGGAGCTGTAGGTAATGACTCTTGCTTTTTCATATTGATCAGGAAAGATTCTGGAAAGAGTGGTAGGGGTTTGAGGATTCTGACTTCCCAGTATCTCTCTGTGTGACTGCTGTTCCTACACACTTAATTATTTATTTTTAAGCAGTTTGCTTATAAAGCTTAAAAACACAAAGCTAGAATTGCAAAACTATACTGTTAACATGCTAAATTCATCATACAACTTTCCTACAAATTCCAGTCAACTGCAGGATTCTGTAAACTCCATCTGCATTAGTACTCTATGTGTTGCAACATTAACATAATGTTTGTAACATTCTAGGATGAATTTGAATTATGCACACTTCCAAGGAAGTGGTTTTAACTCTTTCATGTGTTTTTATACCTGCAGAAAAGCATCTTGGAAAATGTCTTTATAACTGCAAACATGTTGCAGGACCCTTGACAGGATGTAAAAGTAGTTAACTTCCTGCATAGGCTGATCCACTTTTTGTACTTCCTCATGGGGCTTTCTAAGCAGTACCGAGATTATTACTGACAATCAAGCTACTAGATTAAATAAGCAATGTATTGTTTAGGAAAATTGGAGAGGAATAATATTCCTGGATTCACTCATAAATGTTTGCATGTGTGTGAATGGGGAAAAGGGTGTTTAAAGACATGCTGGCTATTGGGTAAAGGAAAACTGCTTAACTTATCCCTTGAAAAACTCACTTGCTAAGAACTGTTGCGTTAGGACTCAAAAGAACTGAAGCCTTTTCAGTCATTGTCTCTTGCTGTACATCATGTTGTACAAGATTAAGAAATCTTAAGATTTCATGCATAGGCCATGGCAGTAACTATAGCATTATATGGTATGATGTGAGGAAATAATTTCAGTCTGTTATTTCTGTTAAAAAAAACCCAAAACACCACAAAAAAACCCTTAAAAGTCACTATTGCCAGTTTTGTATTGTATTGATCCATACAGATAAAAGATTGAATTAATGCCTGTTCATCTTGTCTACAGAAGATGTTACTGCCTATTTGTTTTGACAGAACATGGGACTGTTAATTTTTTTCACTACTTTTGCTACTTTATTTGCCTTTACTTGTGTAAAGTGAGTGAAAACTCACAGTATCACAGTATCACAGTATGTTAGAGATTGGAAGGGACCTCAAAAGATCATCTAGTCCAATCCCCCTGCCGGAGCAGAACACCTAGATAAGGTTACACAGGAACGTGTCCATGCGGGTCTTGAATGTCTCCAGAGAAGGAGACTCCACAACCCCCCTGGGCAGCCTGTTCCAGTGTTCCGTCACCCTCACTGAGAAGAAGTTTCTTCTCAAGTTTAAGTGGAACCTCTTGTGTTCCAGTTTGTACCCATTTCCCCTTGTCCTATCATTGTTTGCCACTGAGAAGAGCCTGGCTCCATCCTCGTGACACTCCCCCTTTATATATTTATATACACTAATAAGGTCACCCCTCAGTCTCCTTTTCTCCAAACTATAGAGACCCAGCTCCCTCAGTCTTTCCTCATAAGGGAGATGCTCCAGCAGGTCCTAAGAGGTTTCCCATATTCTTGAGTAACTAGTAGAAGCTCAACAGAAATGAGTAACTGTATTCAGGCTGTCCAGGAACTACTTTGAAGAACATTTGTTTAGAAGATACTTCTTATTCTTCATAGGTTTCTTGTTTAAAAAGTAAATTTGTGTGTGTTTTCCACAGGGTTATGAAGACTGGCTACGACACAAAGCAGACAATGAAGTGAACGGTGCTCCAGTTTATGTTGTTCGAAGTGGTGGCCTTGTAAAAACTAGATCTAAAAACATTCGGGTATGTGCCTAAGGACAAATTGAAAATTGTGTTTCTGTTGCATAGCTAATGTTCTTCTTCCATTACTAGTCGTGGCCTGTTTCATCATGATTCAGTAATGATGCTGAAATGACTTATCTTTTAAAACTCTATTTGTATTAAAACCCTTCTTTTTTGTATTCACTTTATTAGGTGGGGGACATTGTCAGAGTAGCCAAAGATGAGACTTTTCCTGTTGATCTGGTGCTTCTGTCATCTGATCGAGTGGATGGTTCATGCCATGTTACTACTGCAAGTTTGGATGGAGAGACCAATCTTAAGGTCTGGGTTACCATTGTGAAATAGAATGTAGTTAATTTCCTATGCCATTTTTATTTCAGACTGTTGAAATAACTGCCCGCTCACACACACCACCCCTTCCAGCCCCATGGTCGTTTATATTTAATTTAATGGACACTGTTTTACAGACACATGTTGCAGTCCCAGAAACAGCAGTGTTACAATCTGTTGCCAACCTGGACAAACTTGTAGCTGTTATAGAATGTCAGCAGCCAGAAGCGGATCTATACAGGTATCACCTTATTAGTAAATATTTTGAAATTAAATCAAAATGAGGTGTTTAACAGTAGAAATATTATGTGTCTTGCTGGGATTAAAATAGCTTTGTATACCTGCTTAAATTTTAGATTTTAATAATTAGCATGTTTATACATATGTACTTGGTGAAAATTGCAACTGAGAAGTTAAATTTGAGGATTTCAATAGTAAATCAAAATCATGGGATAATATTTACCTTTTGTATTTTAATCATGACACTTAGGTACATTTCTGTTCTAACCAGTAAACTTGTTTCCAGATCTTAAAAAAATAAATGGCATATGAATCTGAGCAGGTTAGAGAAAGAGCTGTATAAGGTTCTGCCTAAGCAGTATGTTTTTCTTAATAGAATTCAGCCAAACTGTAGCAAATTCTTGTAAGCTTATGTTAATTCTAAGGATATGTGTTTGTCACATTTATTTTGCTTATGGTTTTCAGCAGCAAAACTTTAGATTAAAAACAGTGGTATCTGACTGTGCTACATTCCGCCTTTTAACATCAGCAAGCAATGACCTAGACTCAATAAAAGAGTGTTATAGGTAAAGAAGTTACATTCCCATCGAAATTTCTCCTGAATTGTATAACAGAAAATGGTAGAAGTCAAGTAGCAGTTTTCAAGATCCAAGTATACCACAGCAGCAGTTCTTAAGTAAGCTTTCAGATCTTTGAGAAGTATTAAATTCTTAAAAGCCAGGATACTTAATTTGAACAGCTGTTCAAAATTTGAGGGGTTCAATTTTTGATAACACCAAGTTAAGGTACGGTGACTATAGAAGCTGGGGTCATGCTAATGTGCAAGTGTCAGATTTTAAAAGCAAGTAGGTTAGCTTTGTTAAATGAAAAATTACTATTTCTGATGGCTAATATGCTGACTTGTATTTGTTGAAGAAGTTCAGGTTAGATATAAGGAGAAAGCTCTTTGAGGGTGGTGAGGCACTAGAATGGGTTGCCCAAGGATGTTGTGAATGCTCCATCCCTGGCAGTGTTCAAGGCCAGGTTGGACAGAGCTTGGGTAACATGGTCTAGCATGAGGTGCCCCTGCCCATAGCACAGGGGTTGGAACTAGATGATCTTAAGGTACTTTCCAACCCTAACTGTTCTATGATTCTATGATTATTTGTTATTGAAACATGAAGAAGTCACAATGTGTTTTAGCAAATAAATGTAATCTTTTGTGGCTTTATTAATGAAACCTAATCGGCTTCTCAAATGGTGGTTCTTTTGAGGGATAAATGTTTTTGTTGTTAAATATCTTTTGTAAAATTACTGCCAGTGTTGCCATATTGTTTTAGTTTGATTGTTAATAAAAGTTGATTGTTTTGTACTTGTGAACCACTAATGACTTTTTTGTAACAGAGGAGGTTTTTATATTTTTTGAGTCTTTGTGTAGGTATTTCTAATGCATGGCCATCTTTCATAGGTTTGTTGGAAGAATAACTGTAAGTCAACAAACTGAAGAAATTGTAAGGTAATTAAAATTTTGTAAGATTAATGCTTAGAACTGATGGAGTTGATTAAAATGACCATCATAAGAAAGAATTACTATTGAATATATGAAAGGAGGGCTATTTTTACTGTAAGTATCAACTGTAGCTGCATACTTAAATGGAGATGAAAAAAAATTAGTCAAGGAAAGTCCATTACTACATTTTGTGCAAAACTGTTGTTTATCAGAGTCACTGAGCAGATTTTTTGCAGTTGAAATTCCTAAAAATGTATTTTAACTAAATTTCTGAAAGTGTTTTAAGAAAGTCTCTACTACAGATGTCTAACTTTTAGTATATATTTCACACTACCATACTAACTGGACTGTACAGTTAAGTCCTTACATCTGTAATAGTCAACACATAACTGCATGGATTTAATCATATGCTCACAACCTTTCCCTGTCAGTCATAGCAAGTAGCATACACCTAAACACATGTGAAAATATAAAATACAAAAAAAGATGTGAAGCCACTTACAGATCCATTTATGGGCTTCCTCAAACATTGCTAATTGTGGTGGGTTGGCTCCAGCTAGCAGCCAAGTATCCACACAGCTGTTCATTCACTTCCCACCATCACAATAGAACAGGAGAGAAAACAGGAAGAACAGGAGTAAGAAAGGTCATGGTTTAAAATAAAGACACTGAAATCACTTGGAAGAAATGACCAGACTTTCAGGAATATTTAGCATTCAAGTTAATTAATTGTTTTGTATATTGGGTTTTTCAGGCTGTTTTTACAAACTCAAAAATACTTGAATCCAAAAATACACATATAGTCCCTTTTAGTTCAGATTTTTAGTTAAAGTTTGAGTCTTGCCTAAACTGTTCACATACATGCGTGTAATTTAAATAGCCTGTGATAACCTGTGTGCAGAATTGATGCACACAGTATTTGTAGTGGTAACTGTCCCATTTGTGGTGATGCTTAAGTTAAATATTTAACTGTGGGGGGTGAAGTGTGGGTTTGGGTTATTTTTAGTAACTCTGGGTTATGCTTTCGAAGAAAATTCAAATAAAAGTGCTTTGTTAAGATAATCATGGACTGCTTGTGGTACAGCTAATGGAAAAGTAAGACAAACCCAAGGGCTTGTATGCTGTAGCACGTGGTATATGAACTTGAATTCTTTTGCTTATACCCAGTATGTCACCCTGGCAACCGCAGTTCAATTTCTGCTTTCATTTGAAACCCTGGCAAAAATACTGATTTTTTTTTTATTATTTTTTTAATTATTTAAAACTGTCAGTTTCCTAAAGATGATACAGCCACTGGAGTACAACAAATCACTCTAACCTAGTATGAGCCTGATTCTACCTGGACCTTTATTTTCACATGATTGTTTACAGCTAACTTGGCAAATGGAATGAATGTAGATTATGATAAAATTGTGTTGTGGTAGATCCCCCCGATTCGCCCCCCTCCCCCCCGCCATGTTTAAGAAATTTTACTCTTGTATTCTAAAGCAGCACTGTTGTGGTGGTTTAGTGTCCATCTAGTTGTTTCTCTGGTATGAACAACTTTTTTAACTTGTTAGATCATTTCAGTTTGACAAAGGGGTAAAAGTAAGATAGATAAATTAACCAAACCTAAAACAGCACTCCTGCACTGTGAGCATGAATTTTATTTTATTTTTTTTTTAATTCGGCTGGCTTCTCAAGTAACTTTCAGGTCTCTCTAACCCAGCCATTCGTTATATTTAGCTCAATCACTAATTATGGGATACTGAACAGTGGTGGGAGAGGATGGCACTGACCAAAGGAGGCATGAAAGGAAACAGAGAACACTGTGGAGATATGTGGGTGAGATATGGTAAAAGGGGTAAGAGCATCGAAGATAGACCTAAATGAGTGTGAGGTTATAGTTGTTACAGTGGAAATTCATAGAGGATATAAGACAAATTTGCATAGGAAACTGGATTTCATGTAATGTAGAACAACTGATTTTTAAGTGCTGATATTTCTACTTCTTTTTAGACCTCTTGGGCCTGAAAGTCTCTTACTTCGTGGAGCAAGATTAAAAAACACTAAAGAAATATTTGGTTTGTAGACATCTAACTATTTAAAGAGTATTCTCTTTTTAAAACATACTGATGAACTGTGGTTTAATTCTACTTGCACTGAAAAAATTGCCATAATCTTGCTGTTACCTGAAGGGATATGATTATAGATGAAAGTAATGATACTACGCTGAAGTATCGCTAAGGATATAAAGTTCTGGCTTTGCTCTGTGAAAATACTTGATGTGGTTTGGTAAAGGAATAACTTAACTACAATGTGTAAATGACTGTTTTTACTGTTACCTATTTTTCAACACTTTCTCCTGAGACTTGCCATTCTGATTTCCATAAAATACAAATTGAAGAGCAGTACAGTCATAATAATGAACAGCATTTTTGTAGGTGTTAAAAATAGTTCAGTAGTACTCTTTTACTATAATAGAGCATTGCAAATACTTAATACTGTATCACTATTGTACTGAAGTAAACACAAAAGTAGTATCACCTCTTGATTTTATCCTATGTTCCTTAAAATGAAAAATTAAGCAAACTGTATATATGCAGAAAATAAGGTATAACTCTTTCCCCTCCCATTCCTTCCCAGGTGTTGCAGTGTATACAGGTATGGAGACAAAGATGGCATTAAATTACAAGAGTAAATCTCAGAAACGGTCAGCAGTAGAAAAGTATGTTTATGTTCTAATATCTTTCTTATTTGTAGAGTTTAACTTAGATTTTGCTTGGTAACTTTAAAACCCTGATGATCTTGTCATTGGGTTGTAAGCAAGGGAAGAGAAGCTAATTGCCTTCAGGAAGCTCTAAAGAGCTTCTTGATTTTTCATCCTTTATTGATTCTTTCACTAGCATATGAAGTTGAAATACCCATACTTAAAGGAGGACTAAAGTGGGAAAAGTTCTGGTTTATTTTTTAGATGTGGAGATTATTTAATGATTGGTGAAATGCTTTTTGAACTAGATGCTTAGAGATAGTTTTCACAGCAGGTCCCAGCCTCCGCTCTTCTCTGCATCCTTTACTGTAAAACTGCATCATGCCTTTGAAGAGGATGGATTGAAATTAAGTCTTAATTACTTAAAAATCTTTGTTCTGAATTGTAGTGTTTGATATAATGGAAAATAGCTTTGTTTCATATAGTCCAAAGGATATATAGCCTAGCCAGATACATTTTGCAATGAATCTTGCTTCTAACCACAAGTTGAGGGTTCGGTTTAAAATATCTTTGTGTGTAGTTATGGGATAGGTGTTATTATAATAGAGATTTATATATTGAACCTCATGAAGTATGTTAAGAGGAAAATGGAATTCTGGTGTGTTGCTTTTATTCCAATTATTGAAAAAACTGAGATAGCCCTCCAGCATTCTTTTGCAAACACAGTATTGAACTATAGAATGCACAGGAAAAGTTAAGTCATCAAAGCAAGGAGTGGAAATGTGGTCTGGCTAGCACTACAGAATATAGAGGCAAGTTTGACTATATCCTGGTATAGTAGTGCCTGGGTTAAATAGTCAGATGCACATGGCAGTACTTTTCTAACTGAAGAAAAAGGTGCAGCCTTGGACTTGCAGTGTGTTGTTTGACCTGCCTTCACAGCCTTGCTAGATACTTGTGGAAGAAGAGAAGGATAAGTTACTCACGAAACTCTTGGACAAGTGTGACACAAGTCAGCTGCTGGGGTATTCTTGCACCTTAATCTAGTCTACATATTGCTGTGTGTAGACTATACCTTAGTCGAATGTAGGATTTCTTTTTCACTTCTGTCGCTTGCTTGTGGTGCAGAAACTATCCATATTGAACACAGGGTACTTATTAATATTTTTTTAATTGTCCAGTTAACCACAGTATGTCAACAGATTAAGTAAAATAAACTGAAATTGTTTGGTTTTGCGTTTGTTTTTTGTTGTTGTTTTTGTTGTTTTTTGCTTCTTTGTAGGTCCATGAATTCCTTTTTGATTATTTATCTAATAATCCTCCTCTTTGAAGCCATTCTGAGCACTATTTTAAAGTATGCATGGCAAGCTGAAGAAAAATGGGATGAGCCTTGGTATAATGAAAAAACGGAGCATGAAAGAAACAGCAGTAAGGTAATGTAGTTCTAACCAGTTGCATATCGCAGGAACCCTCAACCACTATATACTCAATGCGATATTATATCTCTGTTCCTGGATTTAGACATAACTGCCACATAATCCACTTGCAAATTTGTGTCCTGTTGTCTCAGTGTTTTTGAGAGAGTTAGTCTTATGTAGCCTCACTCTTGTGTAGAAATATCTTACCTGTGTTAATGGTTGGACTTTTTCTTTCTTTATGAAAAGATCAAGCTTTTTGAAAATTTTGGGTCTTACTAGGGCATATTTCTGATGTTCTTATTATAGATACGTTCTTTTGGGTATCTCCTGCCATTCCTTAAATAAAAAGAAGGTGGTTGTTCTTGTGCGCATTCCATTGCAGTGATTTCACAGTCCAGACTTTCTGTGATGTTGAGCTTGTTCAGACAATTTTGTAAGGCAATTTTATTCAAGCCTCTTCTTGCCTTCTCACTTTTCTGTAAAGACTGGAGGGACACTTTGAAGAGTTCCATTAAGTCTGCAGTTCTGAGAAGTGTCCTTTTTTTTTTTTTTTTAATTTTTTAATTTTTTTAAAATCGTTCTGTATTTTCCTGTATTCTGCATTATTTTTTATTTCTGTATAAGTCTACCTTCTTCCAAAGCAGTTCTTGAGCTGGCTGGAGCAAATTCTAGGAAGTAGAGAGGATTTTCAAAGCACAGAATAATGGGAAATCCAGTTTCAACATGTGATGTAGTTTCAAATATTTTAATACCCACACCTTCTTCTTCTCCAAGAGAATGGAGAATTGAGTGTGCTCACTAGGTGCCATGTGTGCAGAGAGGTCCAAATCCCAAGTCAGGAGAGTTCTGTTCTGCTTCCCAAGTAGAGTGCAATTTACAGTTAGTACATAGTGGTCCAGGAAGGAATAAAGTAATTTGAGAATGTATTTGATTCGAGGAGAGTTAAAAGTTTACTGGCATTTTTGTAAAACATGCAACTTTCTCAGAAGCTTTGTCATGCAGAGTGTTTTGTGATTAAACCACAGCATTGAGATGTTTTTCCAGTTAATTTAGAATTACTAATTCAGGTCATCACTACAGTTACCAAGTACTTTTCAATAGAGTCTAAAATTATATTGTCTGAAAGGGTCACTGTTGAAAAGTACTAAATCAATTTAGAAGTTTTCAAATTGTTTAGTGACTTTATTTTTAGTACCTCCACCCATCTAACACGTTCAACTACTGAAGTGGTCAGTAAAGTAAATTCTTGGTTTCTCTTGATTTGAAGTAGTTTCTATGTAAGTTAGACTAGCCTGTGTAGCTTTTTCAGTTCTGAATAGAATGGGATATACTCAGTCTTTCCATTCCTTTACCTTTGCCTTTAGGAGCACGCAGAGCCATCTGTGTTTCTGCAGTGTCACTCTCCTTCTACCATGTCTTTGTTTTTCTCCCTTCCCTTGTTCACTTCCACAATCTGCTTTGCATTTCTCAATATGCTGACATCCTCACTTGGAGTGCTTTCTCTGTTCATCTCTCCTGTATCTTACAGATTGCTGTTTAAAAGATGGTGCTTGAAGAAACTTGCTAACCTTAGTAATTGTCCTTTCTTCTCTGTTTATCTTATCTTAAATGAATAACTGCTCTTTGTTTGTCTTTTTTATTTAATTTGGAAGATCTCTCAAGGCACAAAACTTCCTTAGTTTTTGTCAGACACCTTAATTACCGGTACTGACTTTTACTAAGTAATTATAGCAGTGTTTTAACTCAGAAGAGCAGACATTATTTAGCTTTGCAGACTGCTGACTACCTTTATGCACCCTTTCTTCAAAATGTTCTCCTACACTAGTATAAATCTCTTCCCAAAGTACAATTTAGATAGAGTTTTCTTTGCAAACCAGAGACTTCAAATAGATTAATATTGCATTTCAGAGTTTTTTGAAATTATCGTACCTAATAAATAGAAATTTCTATCCTATTATGGAGCCTTTTACTTGAAACATCTATGTTGTACACAACGATTTGAAGAGGCATAAAAGAAGACTGTGCCATTGAAATCCAGTCTTTTTCTTGTCATGTAGTCTGGATCACCCACGTCACTGGGAAATGCTAGTAGACGGGAATCCTCTCATCTCTTTGCTGTCTCAAACCAGTACAGATACTTGCGGGTTCCTCTGACAACATGAAATGATAGTTGTTTGCCTTCACCAGTTATGGTTACTTAGAAAAGCCTGTGAAAGGTGCTGTTTGATGGAATGGGGAACACATGAGTTTTTTCAGACTGAACTCTTTCTAGATACCTGTCTCAAAACAGAATCACCATGACAGGTAATATTAATCAGCAGCCTTCCTGACAGATTGAGTAGGAAGGACAAAAATTAATGAACTTGAGAATTGAAACATCCAGTCATAGCTTAAAGCAGTCTTCCTGCATCAGTCTGAAGGCACAATACTGGGGCAACCTTGTCACTGTGTGCTGTCTTTCTCATGTATATATGGCAGTTGGTCTCCTCCAGCTCTGTTAATTTGTCATTTTTCATGCATATTGAAACTTAACTAAATAACCATGTTGCACCACATCACTTTAGTGATGCAGTCTTTACATTTTCTCTTTTTTTTTTTTTTCCTTCTAGATTCTTAGATTTATTTCAGATTTTCTTGCTTTTCTGGTACTTTACAATTTTATCATACCTATTTCACTTTATGTGACTGTTGAGATGCAGAAATTTCTTGGATCTTTTTTTATTGGCTGGGATCTTGACCTCTATCATGAAGAAACAAACCAGAGAGCACAAGTAAATACTTCAGACCTCAATGAGGAACTGGGACAGGTAGAGTAAACAATAAACTGTTTCTTTTTTTTTTCTTCCTTCTATTTTCTACTTTCTTAAAATTTGTTACTGAAAACTTTTTAATGGTTGCACTTTGATTTCAGATTAATTTTAAAATAAGGGATAAACATCTGATGGCAGAAATAAAAGATTTTAAATGATCAGAAAAAGGTGTCTTGTGGAGACTGTGAGTTGAGATATTTACTTTTTCCTTCTAATACATGCATGCAACTCAAAGTCTGTTTTTTGTTTTATTTTACAAAAGGTAGAGTATGTGTTTACAGACAAAACCGGTACATTAACTGAAAATGAGATGCAGTTTCGGGAGTGCTCCATTAATGGCATAAAGTACCAAGAGGTCAATGGTAAACTAACTCCAGAGGGGTTTTCTGAAGATTCACCAGATGGAAATATACATAGTTTGGTAAGACTTTTTTTGTTTGTTTGTTTTTCCCCCATTAGAAATCCTAGACAGAAAGTGGTTTATTTCAGAGAAATACTCTTCTAGCGTCAGCATTCTAAGAAAAAAAAAAAAAAATTAGAACTTATCAACAGTTTCAAGCACTTAAGTATTACCAAAAAAATATCTATTAAACATGTTGAAATGTGATTATTTAACACGGAATACTTGGCAGATTTTAAAGTAAAAACATTTTTTAAAGTATATTGAAAACTGGGTTGATAGGTGTTACAAATTAACTTTCATCTTTTTTATAGATGAAAGAGGAGGAGCTCTTCTTGAAAGCGGTTTGTCTTTGTCATACAGTTCAGATCAATGCAGATCAGACAGATGGTGCTGATGCCCCCTGGCATGCCAATGGAATAGCATCTCCGTTGGAGTATTATGCTTCTTCACCAGATGAGAAAGCTTTAGTTGAAGCTGCAAGCCGGTGAGTTGTAGTGACAAATCTATCTAAGGTAGAAAATGCCTACTAGGGCAGGCAATTCATGGTAAAAGCAACCTTAAAAATTGCTCAGAAAGACCTGTAAAGCCCAGAGCCTGGCAATGTCAGTTCTTCACTATGAAATCTTAGAAAAATGAAATGCACAAAACCCTAGGCATATTAAAAAGTGAAGATTTAAAATATTTATGGAAATTCTTTATTATTATAGTGAATTAACAGTCCCAATAATGGAGAAATTATAGTTTCTGTTTAAATAGTGCAGAAAGTGTGCATTTTTAATTGTCTTGAAGTAAAGAGCAGTAATGGGTTCTCTCCTTTTTTCCCCTCCTCATCAACAGACATTATGTTTGATGATTAAATATATATTTTCTTTTAATTTTAGGGTTGGAGTTGTATTTACTGGAACTACTGGGGACAGTATGGAAGTAAAAAGTCTTGGAAAACCAGAAAGGTAGTCATTTTGATTGTTTCTTTTGAAGGACAGAACAGTAGCGAAAATTAATGTTCTCTTAATCCTCTCTGTTTATAAGAAAACTTTGCCAGTGCACAGCTTGCTGTTTTTAATGCTTTTCCCTTAATATCTTCACGACAGCTCACATGTTATTTCTTACCAATTGAGACTGAGATGCAAGAATTTTGTATGCATTAGTTGCTCTGTGTAGATGTGTATTTAGCAGTTTACCTTTGCCCATTCCTCAAAGGTTGAGACCGTAGTAGAACTGGAAAACTGGATTGCATATTCAGGTCTTATTATTTGTGCTTTCAGCTCCAGAAGTTCTCAGAATCAGTCTCATACATGCATACTCTAATTACATATTTTAAAATTTCCCCAAATTAGTAAAAATATTATTGATAACTGTATAGCTGCAGTATGTCATAACACCTTGTATCCGTTGGATCTGTTTCAGTTAGTTGGCAGTACTTTAAACTTAAATGTCTGAAGTTAATTTTCGAAATTAGTGGTAACATAACAAAAAGTAGTCGAGTTATAAGGGAACATACACTCTCCTTTGGCTGTGTAGGTTGTTAACAAGTGTAAGAAACAAATTGTAGTTTGCAAAGTTACAGCTGAAGGAATGATAGAAGGGTAAAGGAATAGATGGGAAGTGATGTAATCTCCAGATGCAAAGCTCATGTTCAGAAAACTATTCCTGTTGGTGGAAGAACCTTACAGTATAGAGTATATTTATGAGTAACTGACTCTGGAAGTTTACTTCTAAAAGTGTTTTATTCCTTTTCCCCCTTCTGTTGAAACACAAAATGCAGGTATAAATTACTTCATGTTTTGGAGTTTGACCCAAATCGCAGACGAATGAGTGTCATTGTAGAGAGTCCCTCAGGTAAGTGATCAGAAGTTGCACAAACTGCAGTGGAGAACTTCTTAAATAGTATTCTTGATTTCTGTTCCATTTTACTTTTTAGGGGAAAAGCTTTTATTCACAAAAGGAGCAGAATCTTCCATTCTTCCTCGTAGTAAGAGTGGAGAAATAGACAAAACAAGGATACATGTGGATGAATTTGCTTTGGTAAGTGTAAATGCTTGCCCAGCTGATCAGAAGAAAATTCTGGTGAAAGTTCTCTGACTTGAAGTGAAGAAATGGCAGGTGGCACCTTTTTGTTAGATCAGAATCTTATCTACTCTGAATGTGTTCTTATATTTTCTCACAGAAAGGACTAAGAACTTTATGCGTAGCCTACAGAAAATTCACACCTGAAGAGTATCAAGAAATTGGCAAACGGCTCCACGAGGCTAGGACTGCCTTACAACAACGGGAAGAAAGATTAGCAGATGTATTCAACTTCATAGAAAGGGATCTGGAATTACTTGGGGCTACAGGAGTAGAAGACAAGTATGCAATGGAGTTTCTGCTAATTACATTCAAAGCCATATTGAATTTAGGTTTTATAACTGATATATGATGTACAGCGTGAAAAACTCTTCCACAACAACTGGAAGTTCTGTGCTATTCTTGTTTAGTATGTTTACCGCTCTTTGGATTGAGGAACATTCAAAACACATGTTGTACTACCTGTTCATTGGCTTAATAATGATGTCATACAGTAGTATTCATCAGGAAAGATTAAATGTATGTGAAATAGAATAGTTGCAGTAAATATTTAGAGTAATTGCTAACTTCTTGGAAAAACTTATGCATAGCTACTTTACAAAGCATTCTGCTTGCATAGTATGTATTCTGTAAGTCAGAGGGTGTATTGTACACTGGAACATACAGATGAAACACTTAAAAGCTTTTCATGTACTACAGAAGATAGTAATTATTGTGGGCTGTTTAAAAACTTCTCAAATGCAGCAGTGGTGCCTAGTTTAAGATACAAATTTTTGATCACTTAGCAGTATTGAAGTTCAGTTTTATTTCATCAAAGCCTTCATTTTATTGCTGGTAACAGAATGTCATCTGCCAGACTGTGATTCTCTGAAAAGCAATGTAACACTGGAAATGCAGTCTCAAATCATCATGACAGGAGTAACATGGAGTTACAGCATGAGCTCTGTTTTTGTAAAGTCTTTGATAAGTTATTTAAGATTTTCTTCTTTCTAGACTGCAAGATAAAGTCCAAGAAACTATAGAAGCACTCAGGTTGGCTGGTATCAAAGTGTGGGTACTCACTGGAGATAAGCATGAAACAGCTGTTAGTGTCAGCTTATCATGTGGACACTTTCATAGAACCATGAACATCCTTGAGCTTGTGCAACACAAGTCAGACAGTACATGCGCAGAACAACTGAGGCAGCTAGCCAAGAGGTAAAATACCTGAGATGTCATTATCTCAGTGGTGATCTTAGCTTTGTTTTCTTTTATGCTCAGACTTTATGACAATCTCTTTGATGTATGTGCCAAACACATGAAGTTACCTTTTTAAAATATTTAGTAGTATAATACCAGATCTGAAGAAGCAGTCTTTCTGACAGGCTAACTTCTTTATCTGTTGTATGGGCAACTGCATAGTTCATAAGAAAACTTAAACTTTTCCGTCTCAGTGATACAAAGCCAACTTTTTTGTTGCCAATAGAATAAAGGAAGACCATGTTATCCAGCATGGACTTGTTGTGGATGGGACCAGCCTCTCTCTTGCACTCAGGGAACATGAAAAACTGTTCATGGAAGTTTGCAAAAACTGTTCTGCAGTGTTGTGCTGTCGCATGGCACCCCTTCAGAAAGCAAAAGTAAGTGAGAATATAATCAGGGTTGTCTTGTATTTTTATAATGCTTTGCAAGAGGCAACGACATCAGGAACTGCTTTGTTTCTCTGCCCTTTTGTGTGACTTTTTGAATTCTTTTAAATTCTGTTGCTCTATAGTAGTTTGCTACTAAGTTTCTAAGTGCATTTGTGAAAATTTGCAGGTGAATCGAGGAGATAGTCAAAATACTGCTACTCTGCAACAAAAAGGCTAATCTTTAATCATCCTCTTAAGTTTTCTGTAAGGTGGTAGTTATCCTGATCACCTGCATGCTTTGGCATTGCCTGTTCCATCACTACTCCAAACCATAATTGAAAATTCATGAAGCTATATGGAAAACTGTGCTTCTTTAAAGATTTAAAAAAATACCCAAGTTTGAGGAGGAAGTAGAAGGGAAGGGAAAAGAAGCTGGGGCCTAGTCTCCAGGAGGTTTGCTTTAATGCTGTCCTCTGAGGCCATTTTTTCTTCACGGGTGCTTAATTTTACTTAAATACAGGTCAGATAAAATTCAAATTTAGATTGTGATTTTTTTCATTTTTATTAACTCTAAAAAGCTAAGCTCTGAACAGCTATAATATTCTTTTTTATAATTTTAAGATTAATATTATAATATTAATATTATACCTTTAGCTTATCTATATGCTTTAAAGGCTTTTTGCATGTAATTCCAGTAATATTAAGACTGTGAAAAGGCACTATTGTCTACTCTATTTTTACACCTTGTCAAAATGAAAAGGAAAAAAGACATCTCTTCACCTTAAAGACGTAGGAGATGTGAGGTACTAGATTTGCAAAAGAGGCTGTTTTACTGTAGTACGAGTAACCTGTTTTGAGGTTGGTCTTCCTTCTTCCAGCGTCTAGTCAGGCACTTAATGCAGTCTTCAGAATCACTTCATTATAAAACTATTCAGTGGTATATAAAACTTGGTATGATAGTAGTTTTGGTAAAATGTTAAAAAGAAGTTGTTTGTAACTACAGTAAGAAAAATCGCTTGTTGGCTATGTCCACTCTATATACACTCTCTTAGGTGAAATTTTTGCCGTCCTCTCTCTTTAAGGTATAGTTATTTGCCTATGTTGTGTCCTTGTTCTTACTTTGTCATTTAACTTGATTTATAATGTGTTTTTGTACTGCTAAATTTGTCAGAACAGCAAATAGTGCTTTCCTTAATTCTTCCCCTGTCCATCAGATAATCTCAGTTATTTCCTGTTTTGTTGTAAAGTACAACAAAACCTAATTTTGATGGTAGTGGCTTTAAACACTGAAGTAGATAAAGCACTGAGGTAAATGCTGCACAACATAGGAGGGAAGGGTAGGGAGGGAACTGTACAGCTATTTAGTCCTTGGTTTTGATTTTGTACTTGTCTTGGATTCAGCAGTAGCAGTCAATTTTTTTCTCCTTCTTAGTAGTTGGTGCAGCACTGTTTTTGACTTTCGGCCTGGGGACAGCGTTCATAACACCAATGTTGTTAGTTGCTGCTCAGATGTTTAGTCTGACCAAGGACTTTCTGAGCCTCTGTCAGGGAGAAGGGGAAGCTGGGAGGAACCGGAGACAGGACATCTGACCCAAACTAGCCGAAGAGGTATTCCATACCACAGTACATCATGCCCAGGAGGTAACTGAGAGTTACCCAGAAGGGCTAGTGCACTGCTGGGTTGGGCTAGGTATTGGTCGACGGGTGTTATTGTATTCTCTTCCCTTGTTATTTCCCTTATCATTATTATTATTGGTGGTAGCAGCAGTGACTTGTGTTATACCTTAGTTACTAAACTGTTCTTACCTCAACCCGTGGGAGTTCCATTCTTTCAGTTCTCCTTCCCATCCCTCCTGGAGCGGGGGGAAGAAAGCGGGGTGGAGTAGACTGCGTGGTTCTGATTTACAGCCTGGGCTTAAACTACAACAGTTCGTTTTGGTGCCCAACATGGGGCACAAAGGGTTGAGATAACGACATATCTGACGGGAGTGTGTCTAACTGTATTTGTGATAAGCATTCATTGTTTCGGATTAGTAGTCACTCGTCAGAATGCTGATTTATTGGCTCTCAATTTTGTTGCTCTTGATCTCACAGTTTCAGCACGTTGTGCCTTACTTGCAGCCAGTATTTTCTGTGTTAGTGTTTATTGGCTGGGGTCCTCTGGCTAAGGTTCCTGTCTCATTGTACTTTATGTTAATCACTTGTAATACGGGCGGGCTACGGCAGCAGGGCAGGATGGATGTGGCTGTGGACTTGTACCTGGCCGTCCCGCTGCTCTTCACCGTCCTGGCCCTCATCCTCACCTCCATCTTTATGAGGCTGCGGGGACCCAAGGGGGAGCAGCCCTGGGAGGTGGCGGCGGCCAAAGGGGCCCGGGAGAGTGGCTCCAGCGACCACGTGGCGGCAGGAGCGGGGCCAGAGGCTGGGAGGGTATGGCTGCCGGTGGAGGAGCTTGGGGCGGTCAAGGAAGGGGAGAAGGCCGCTGCCAAGCAGCGGAAAGAGGCAGCAGAGGAGCCTAGCCTCACGGCCGAACCCAGTCCCACAGCAGCCGAGAGCATCCCTCGGCAGCCACCTGCCAAGCCCTGTGAGCCTGAGCCCCAGGAGGATGCGGAGAGCAAGATACCACCTTTGGGAGCCTCAGCTGGGTCCAGCCTCGGGCACCTGGAACAAGTGGAGGATGCAGGAGACCACACAGCATTTACCAGCAAGGCAGAAGAGAAAGATCTGGACTCAGAAAAGAGAAGCTGGTGATGAGAGAGCTGGCAAGAACAGCAGCTACACCAGCCCCAGTGACAAGTGCAGCAGCATGATTTGAGAGTTCTGAAGATTTTGAATGGCCTTTGGTTGCCCTTGGGACCTGCCTGCTGATTGTGATGGGGATCAGCATGTTGGTACACATACAGAGTGTGTTCTACCCACGACCATTTTGTCTGATCTCGAAAGTTAAGCAGAGTCAGGTTTGGGTCTTTTCTAGGGTTAGATGATGATATAGGAGGACTAAGAGGCTTTCCCCAAGGCTGGACAGTCATGAGTGGGAGGGTGTGTGGGACAGTATGGGCAAGTATCTAGTCCACTGGGCCCCTCCAGTGCTTTGGAAGCATCAGAGATGAAAGGTAGCTATATGGAGTCCCAGACGACAAGTTGCAGAAACTACTGAAGGGTAGGGTGAATTATTCTGAGCCTGGTGGGCCCATGACACTTCAGGCCATCAGAGCAGAGATGTGACATACAGATGGGCTTGTGATCGAGGGGTGGACTTAACAATGGACACTATTACCTAGGTTATTCATGAGTGTGAACGCTGCACACAGCCTCTCCTGCTCTGAAAGACTGTTACGAGAGATGGAGCCTGACATCATGGACCGGATGGACTCAGCAGCTTTATAGGGATTGGTCCATGCACTAAGGAATGATCTCTCTTTCTCTCTCTCTCTATGTGGGTATATATGTATATATATATGAGTGATGGTATATTGAAAATGTGGGATCTGAGCATGACATGAATGGTATGGAATAAGGGGTGGATACTGTCCTGGGTTCAGCAGTAGCAGTCAGTTTTTTTCTCCTTCTTAGTAGTTGGTGCAGCGCTGTTTTTGACTTTAGGCCTGGGGACAGTGCTCATAACACCGATGTTCTTAGTTACTGCTCAAATGTTTAGTCTGACCAAGGACTTTCTGAGCCTCTGTCAGGGAGAAGGGGAAGCTGGGAGGAACCAGAGACAGGACACCTGACCCAAACTAGCTGAAGAGGTATTCCATACCACAGTACATCATGCCCAGGAGGTAACTGAGAGTTACTCGGAAGGGCTAGTTCACTGCTGGGTTGGGCTAGGTATCGGTCGACGGGTGGTATTGTATTCTCTTCCCTTGTTATTTCCCTTATCATTATTATTATTGGTGGTAGCAGCAGTGACTTGTGTTATACCTTAGTTACTAAACTGTTCTTACCTCAACCCGTGGGAGTTCCATTCTTTCAGTTCTCCTTCCCATCCCTCCTGGAGCGGGGGGAAGAAAGGGGGGGGGTGGGGGGGTGGAGTGGGCTGCGTGGTTCTGATTTACAGCCTGGGCTTAAACCGTGACACTGCTGTAGGCACCCTTTTTGTGAGGTGTATTCCAAGGTTAAGATGGAACTCAGCTTAATATTTCCCACATATTTTCCTGTAATTTTAATCCTTGTCAATATATGGCTAGCAGTCTCACTACTTATTTTTCTATGTTTTATGGCTCAGAAACCTTTTCAAGCATCTTTCATGTCAGTAATTCAGAGTTGCTGCTGTTAATATTTGCCAGAGGATTTATCTTGACACTTTTGTGTAGATGTTTGTCTAAATTACCACAGTGTTATCTCATGAGGAACTGATCTGGGTGACATACTGCAGCCATGCAGTAAGGCTGCTTAATAAGATCTAATGCTAAATTTACTTGGAATAATTACCCTCAGGAATGGGGAGTTTTAAAACTTGAATAATACCTTTAATTAAGGAATGTGTTCCCACAATGAGGTGGATTTAGCTGAATTGTGGACTGTGTTTAATCACTGTTGTGTTCCTTGTGTGAAGCATTACTGGTCCTATGAATGAACACAGTGACATACTAGCTAGAACTCAATTGTTTGAACTGTTCATCTACCTCATGCAGTTGTTGCTCTGTTGATTGTTTCCACTTTGAGTTTTCTGGAATTTGGGGGGGAATATGCAGTATTTTTTTTTTACATAAATATTCTTTGTTTTTAGAAAGCCTTGTGTATCTTCATTCTCACCTTTATCTCTTCAGCCTGTTTATGACTGAATTAGTGAAGCCTTTACCTTTAGTTAGAGCTCTGGGAGGTTAATGAATTACTAACTAAATCCTTACCTAAAAGCCTCATCTAACTAACTCCTCTCTATTAAGAATGTTGTTGGCACTTACATTAAAGATTTGTCTCCTTTCTGCAAAGAGCAGATATAACTGCTCTTCTTTTGAGTATTTTAGAGACTTGGTATGTAAACAGTTTTTTACTCCATCTGTCATATCTTCTTTGTGAATTTTCCAACTGAGAATACCCATTGTTGATAATGGAGTTGCTTTAAAAAGAAGTTATTTTTCTGAATAACAGTATGTATTGATCTTTGATCTAATATATTAGTGTTTTTTTTCAGATTCCTCTTGTACAATGCTTAGTTTCATTAATTGAAAATGTGAACTATCTGGGCACATCTAGTCAAGGATGTTAAATCTGGATCGCTTCCTAACTAAATTTTCAGTTCTGACTTTTACTTGACTGTCTTGTATTATAAACCACCAAATTAAGAGTTGTAAAAGTACATCTAAATAAGAATGCAAAATAAGCTGAAGGCAGTCATAATATTTAAATAAGGCTTGTGCCCCAAAGAGGGAGCTTTTCTAAAGGAGCAGTGAATTTGCACATGTCATGTGCCAAAGATGTGTTTTACCCATGTGCATATTCATAGAACATATTAATTATATTTACAGGTAGGTAACTAAAGTACTTGGGAATTAGTGGCATGCTTTGTTGGTAGACTGTCTAATCTGTAAAATTTCTTTTTCTCCAGGTAGTGCGACTGTTAAAAACATCTCCAGAGAAACCTATAACATTAGCGATTGGTGATGGGGCTAATGATGTGAGCATGATACAAGAAGCACATGTTGGCATAGGTAATTTTCTTTTGTAATAAAAAATAAAGGCAAATAACATGCAAATTTCAGTAGAGTATTAGATCACAAATAGTGTTTATAAACAGGTAAACTTATAAAGCTTTTGCAGCTGTGAGTGACAGGGTGTTTATCTGAGTCATTCATTGTAGCAGAGTTTTAATGAATATTAAAATCTAAGGCTGTTTGCTTTCAGAAATCTTAGGTTTATTGTGTAGTCCACCAATAATCAGAGGTCCTGTTTTGTGCTGAGGTAAAAACACCAAAGATTCTTTCTAACTAGAATCCCAGAAGTACCCCATGTCAGGTGTTGGAAGTGGTTATGTCTAACTTCAAACATCGTCAGGTTCTAAGTTCCTGTGTAAACTTGACCTTTAAACCTTTCTTTGTGCTCAAGTGACACTGTCTGCATGACGTCTGTATTACTGTAGAAATGCCATTTGTGTCTAGTTTGGCTTTGAGGAGAAGAATATCTTTCTTGAGAGACTGTTACTGATTCTGGTAAGCTTGGTAGATTTCTGTTATTTGGCCAGGACTTTATTCAAACTTTTTTTTTCTGTGTTGCATAACTGAATTAACAAAAACCAAACATACATAAAACTGAATTATTACCCATTATGAAGTGTTTTGATATTTCCTTTACTAACTTTGTTGGATGGTGTTTGTTACAGTAGTAAATCTGAAGGTATTACCTAAGGTGTTAGTACATAAGTATATTCAGTCTGTCACCCTGTGTGATTTAAAAGGTGTACGTAATGTTTATCATGTAAGTCACATGCCCCTGATTTTTAAGACCATGGGTCTTAAAGACAATGGGTATAGCCTGCTTGAGAAGGTTACAGCCCAATGGCATATGGTGCTTTATGCTACAGCTAGTTTGTCAAATAACTGAAGCTTATTAAAAATTATCCAAGTTTTTATTGCCATTTATAGCATACATGTACACTGGTCAGAACCAGCAAGTCTTTGCTTTTGAGGGTGACTGGACCTTTTAAACTGTTTTCTGTTCAAAAGCAACTAGCACTTTCAAATGTCTGGTTTTCAAGAGTCCCAGACTATTTTTTTTGTATAAAAGAGCAGTTTGTCTTCTCTGTGTATTCTTATCCCAATATTAGTAATAGTTTTTTAGAAATTAATTTGTGTCCAGCTGTGACAAGTGGCAAGCACTTTCAGCCCACCAGACTAAGTAAACTCTTGCTGCAAGAACAACACTTCTTTTATTCTGCTGTTGATACAGGTCATATTATTCCCAGAAGATACTGTAAGAAAAACCTCTTTGAAGTAAGACGTACTAAGTAAATTGGTGATTAAAGATGGTTAGATAGTGGTTTGCTTGGTTTGGGAATTTTGGTTGTATATGAGTATTGTTGTTTTGTTTCTGCTAATAAATGGTTTCTTAAGTATAATGTATGGAAATAGTTGGTGGGTGAGTTTTCTAAATGATTTTATTTTTATGTTCAAAGTGTTAGAAATAATGACTTCTTTTGGAACTGAAAGTTAATGAAGCCTGTAATGTTGAAGTGCAGAAAACCAGAAATGTAGCTTCAGTTTTTTGTCACTGGGTTTTTTAAACTTTATTTTAGAATGTTTTACCTGTTTTCTATTTCGTTTCCCAAATATTGCAGGAATCATGGGCAAGGAAGGAAGACAAGCTGTAAGAAACAGTGACTATGCAATAGCACGGTTTAAATTCCTCTCCAAGTTGCTTTTTGTTCATGGACACTTTTACTATATTAGAATAGCAACCCTTGTACAGTACTTTTTTTATAAGGTAAGTCTTTAGAGAGTGCCAGTGAAGTTCATGGAAAATGTGTAACTTCTTTCCCACCAATAAATTTATTTCAGATCTAAGATTTTTTTCTGGCAACAGATTAAATACCTCTTTTCAGACGTGATTTTTCAACTTTCTTTTTGTATAGTTTACAACCCAATGCAGTAGCTTCTCTGTGAAATTGTTCAGTACTTCCACCTAGAAATAGGTTTTAAATACCACAATGAGTTTGCCTAGGCTGAGAGGCAGACATGTTTGCTCTCTGAAAGCAGCATTACTAGCTCGACATTAAATGCATTTTTTAGCAAGATGTAAAAGTATAACCTTTTCTGTTTATTGATTTAATATGAACCAAATCTGTTCATCTATCTTAAAAGGAAAACGGAGCATAGGAAGTAGTTGAGAGAGGAAGTAGGAGGTGTGTGGGAAGAGAGCATGCTCTTTGCTGGCAGGCTCACCTTAAGAAAATTCTAACAGTCTTCACTTCAGAAACATTGCAAGGGACTGAGTTATATCTGGATACCTCTCAGGGATCTATGGGTACGGTGCAGCAGGGTGAGCTTAAGCCAAATGCTAGAAGGAGTTGGGGGGCATGGGCTGGGAGGTCAGTCATGGGCTGGGGTGTTGTCTTTGATCTTACTTGAAATTTATCAGAGATTCTAGCATTGGCCACCAAGCCACGTTTTGTCTTCGATTGTTTGCTTTCGTTTAAAGATCACAGCATGGTGTTAGGTTTTGGTTTCTGTCTTTCCTACTCCCATGCAGAAAGCTCACGAGCAGGGCACATGATTTCTTGAATGAAATGTAGAAACTATTTCACAAGGAAATTACTAAAAAGGAACTAAGGGGGAAATGAATGTGTTTCTCCTCGTTTAATACTATTTGTACGCCTATAAAGAGTTGTGTTCATCAAGCACTGCAATTAGAGTTTATATTTTTCAGGTTCATTGTCCTAAAGGACAAACAAAATACGCTCTTAATCAGAGCATATTACTTCACTTCACCAAGTAAAATGCTGAAACAGCTTTATATCCTCCCTGTGTATTTTTGCCAGCATCTAAGAGTTAGCAGTTTCTTTCAGTATAGTGAGACATACGCTGAGGATTAACTGTTTAACTATTTTCTTTGCCTTTTTTTTTTTCCAGAATGTGTGCTTTATTACACCACAATTTTTATATCAGTTCTTCTGTTTGTTTTCACAACAAGTAAGTATTCTGTGCCTTACATCATGGTAAATGTGAATTAAACACTCAGGATAAATAACTGGGAAAATGGGAAAGAGCTAGACAGGAATGGCAAGATTTTACACTTAACACATATCCAGCTTCATTTTTTGTATTTGATAGCTTGATGTTCCCTAATGGTTACATGAGCATAGCTTTTTTTCTAACTAGTGAATTCAGATAATGATTTGTTGCTGCTATAGTGTGCTGATAAATTTTAACAAATATAAACAACTTTTTTCTTTACAAGACTCAAAATGATTTTTGTTTCCATTTTCAGACACTCTATGACAGTGTATACCTGACTTTGTACAATATTTGTTTCACTTCCTTGCCTGTCCTCATATACAGTCTTTTTGAACAGCATGTGCATCCGCATGTTTTACAGAGTAAACCTGTGCTCTATCGGTACGTATATTCTAATATTGTCACAGTAGAACATCACTTAGACTAACAGCAGCATCTGCAGAAGTCCATGAACTGTGCATTCCTACAGTATTTTTAGCTGTAATTTATACAGTTTTTAGTAATTATTTTGAGAGAGAACTGCAGCTACAGTTTCCATCCTAAAAGTTAATTAACATGAGTATTTTAAGAGAATCATCTTTCTATGTCAGTCATGTTAAGACTGGAAGAGAATTGAGTACTTGGTCTGCTTACACGATTGGCAGCTTTCCCTTCCATTACATGTAGGAGGTGAAAATCAATCAAACACACAAATGAATCACTAGGACACTGTGGTTGAGGGAATCACCACAAGATGTGCTTTACTGGGAGGGGAAGTGATTTCATGTAGAATTAGATGTCCTCCCAGTGGTAGCATATTGCACTGCATATAGCTTTTTGGACAAAAAAAAAAAAAACAAACCTGTATTTTTGTTAAAAAGAGATGTCTCTTAGATGTTTCTGTTTTCCTGAAGGTCTTCTAAGCAGAACAAAGGGCAAGTGTCAGGAGATCCTGGCTTTTTCTTCCTCTTGTATAGTTTGTGCTATCCTAACTTGACGCATTTGAGGTCCTTGCCATTGGCGATTCCTGCATAAAGCAGAGGCAAATCATGAGTTATGTTTGGTTTTTTTTTGTATGTCAGCATTTGTTAAGTGTATCTGGGTGCAGCTGAAAGCTGTATTTATAAAAGGAGTAGCCATCACACAATGTGAATAGCTGATGGGTGCATAAAGGCAATCTGAAATTCTAAATCTGTTTTATTTCTGCAGAGATATCAGTAAAAATGCTCAGCTGGGATTTAAACCATTTCTTTACTGGACCGTCTTGGGCTTCTTCCATGCATTTGTTTTCTTTTATGGCTCGTATCTTCTAATGGGAGAAGATACTTCTCTACTGGGAAATGGCCAGGTACCATATCATAAAAATTATTCTACCACTGTATTTTTGGTGATATTTCTTAATGTTTTTTTTTTATTTTTATGAACTACATAATTACCAAGGATACTTTGCCAATATTGATGTGTACTCTCAAGAGTAACATTTCTTAGTGTGGAAACTGCAACATGTTATCAGAAAGTGTATGTCCATGAAGAACATATCTTTCAAGATAATAAGTGTATTATGTTTGTCTTAAACTTTGTTTTATTTTTATACTGTTTTTGTCAAAATCATATGTTATAACTTCAGTAAATGAGAATTTATGTTCAATCATTTGAGAGTCCTTTGGAGTTGGACTTAATTGCTGTGTCAAACAATGGCTTCTCTTTTAGCATCTCTTACGAAGTTAGGCTTAAACTGAAAGTTGGCAAAAGTCTTAAAGCTTTTCCTGAAAATTCATTATTCTAGTTACTCAGAATTTTAAAAAATGAAGTGGTGCAGGCTGCTCTTAAATTACAGTTTTTATACAAGAAATATTTTTAGGACAGTAACTTAATGATATCGTCCACTACTAATTTAGCACTTTCTATTTTAAAGATGTTAGAGTTCACAGGAAAAATCACATACAAAAAATTCCTAAAGCTTGGGTAAAACCATTACAAGTCTGCTTCCTCATTTTCCCCCCGAGGAAGGTTCAGAGTTAGTTAACCCAATTTAGGACACTTAGATACTGAGTTTTTCTCTCATAAAACTTACGGAGAGTGATGCAGGAACACATTTGCTTCTGTCATTGTGCCATTCATACTACTGACATGAAGTGCTTGCTGATTCTTGTCTAGTGCTTGTTAGAGTTGCATATTGTGGCACAAGGTACAAAAATAGCATTATACTGTATTCACAGTGGTCATGGGGGAATTGGAATGGGCATGAGCTCAGGAAGTTTAGCCAAAAAAAGAATTTATAGTGATGTACAGACAATGGCCGGAATTGTCTTGAGTGACTAAAATCAGAGAGCATGTGAAAGGATCAGTGAAGAGGGAGTGGTGCAGCTAGCTGGAGTATGTGTTTCATTTGAGAAGAACGTTAAAATAGTTGTGCTTTAGACTAAAATATCTCTTACAGCTGAGGTATGAATCTGCCCTCTCCTGTCATTATTTTTTACAAGGTTTGTGGACTTCAGAGTTCCTGTGAATTGATAAAGGGCCTTCAGTACTCTTCTGATGAAATAAGTTTGCACTATGGAAGTCTGTGCATCCATCTTAGTTGTCAAAACACCTTGCTTTAAAATTGCTTAGTTAAATGTTCACAGGGCAGAAACAGACTTTTTGCATTGTACTCAGTAACAGATGTTCAGTTTAGGGAACAGATTTTATTCTTTCTCTACACCTGTATGTTAATGTGGGATTTGTGGAGAAGGTTAATGATTTCTTCTGTAACTTAACCTCAAGATTATTTAAATACACTTAGTGTACGAGCATACTGGACATAAAGCATTCAGATGCCCTTTGGCTTCTCATGTTTCCTGTGATGTGACTTTAAAAAGTCTTAGAATTTTTTTGGAGTTACTCTGCACCTCTCTTCTGAAAGATGGTTATTTGAATTGGTAGAACTGTATTTTTGTTACAGTAAAATATCTGGAGTGCATAAAGTATGTTGCAAATTTAACATATGCCTGAAAAAGCCAGGTTAAGGGCAAGAGAAACTGATATGCTGCTGACATGCTTTCTTGTAGGAAGTCTTCAAGACTTTGTGATCACTTTGTGCAAATGGGTGATGCGGTGTAGTGTTTGTGCAAGGCTTCACATTTTCATTCCAAGTTGCAGTTTGAAGCAAAGCAGAATAGAAGAGATTGTAAATAATTTGTTAATGTTGGTGGTTTGTTAGGCTTACCTCAACATATTGTGCAACAACTTGATCTTTTAGTTCTTTTTCTTTCCCCCCCTTTTTCATGCTGTGCATGTCGTCAGATATTGAAACCTAACAGGCAAATGGTAAGAGTTTAGAAGAGGAGGAGATACAAAGTATTGTATCTGTACTTCACAAGATTAAAGGATGCAGCATCAACAGTGTAAATGTGTTCAAAAATAAAATGGTGGCAAGAACCGGTTCATGTTTTGCATTCTAACTCTGTGACCTTTGAGAGCAGTGTTAGCAAAGACACTTTCTTTCACAGGTCACTCAGAAGCAGTAGTCTAGTTTTAAGATACTGTTGCAGCAGTTTACAGCAAGCATGTTGCTTGTTAAGTATTACTGTCAGTATGAAAAGTAAACATAAGGCTTCGGAAGATGTGTTTTAACAGCATCTTTCAAATTATCAGCAAGTCCAGAGACTCGTGGCAGCCTCATTTTTGTACCTTGCATAAAGATGAGAAAAGCAGTTGTGAGATCTGTCATCAGGCTGTTGGGATTTTTTGTTTGCTTTTGTCAGAGCTCTGTAACAAGGACTACAACTGTGCGAATCCCAGTTCCATGCCTTTGTGCTGTACTAACAAATCAGCTCTAGGATGATTTTGATTGCCTGTCTGCATGTGGTACCTTTCTCCTTGCTTGCTTAGTTTGCTACCGGTTAATAGAGTTAAGGACTTGGTCATTATTTAGTATCGTAGTGGCACAAACAGCTACGAAACAGCAATGTCTTCTGCTTCAGCACCCAGACTGCTTCCAAGGGCAGAGCAGTTGGACCTGTTGAAGATTCATGGTGTGTGTCTGAGTAGCATGTGTGTAGATACACTTACAAACTTGGCATCCCTGCTTGGTTGTCAGAGCTGAGATTTTATTGTTGTAGAACTTGTTCAGAGTTTCAATAGTTTAATTTATATGGGCAAGAGAGTATGGAAGTAACAGATCTTGCATTGTAGAATCAAAGTTTCACTTTGTGTTTATTAGCCTTGAAACAAAGTGTCTTTTCCTTAGAGTTTTCTTACAGTGACACCATTATTTTTGAATTTTAAATTGTGTTTGGGGTGAAATTAACTTTCAGGTGATGCTGCATGTTGAAAATGATCTGGAAATTTTTAAACTCGGCATGGTTTGCACTTACGTTCAAGTGCATACCTTTCACCCAGTATTTGATTTCTATTGGATGCTTTTACTTAATTGATCAAACTGGTATCTTCATATTCCTATCATTTTATGTTACTGTTTTGTACTTTCTTCATATTTCATGTAGCCTTTGTGGTGATCTGTTTTGAACCAAGGAGAAAGATGACTTGTGGGCTGTTAATTTTGCTCTTAAAAGCTGTATTTCCTAGTAGTTTGTGTTGTATCCTTACTGTATTTTCAAGATGATTAGTTGTCGTAAGCTTATGTCCACAGACTTCTTTCATTAGTGTAGCTGACTTGGGAGGAATCTGACTTACTGTGAATGCTCTTAGCTAATATTTTTTTTTTTCTTCCATGACTTGCTGTTTTCTTAGATGTTTGGAAACTGGACATTTGGTACTTTGGTCTTCACTGTTATGGTTATAACTGTTACAATGAAGGTATGATGTTATACTAATTACTTTTTGTGTTTGGATATATAGGCAAATATGTAATAGGGCAGTAACTGAAAATTTATTCGAAAGTTATACCGAATTAATTTATTCTTGAGGATTCTAGCTAAGCAATTTTTATGTTTGGTTTCAATGGTAGTTTTTGCATGTTCTGATGTTTAGTGTTTGAGCTGGAAGTTCATAAGCACATTCAGACTGGTATTTATCATTTTCTGTGACATGAGGGGGAAAGGAAGTTCACTGACATTATCTTTCTTATAGATGGCACTAGAAACTCACTTCTGGACATGGATAAACCATTTTGTTACTTGGGGATCCATTGTATTTTATTTCCTATTCTCCTTGTTTTATGGGGGAATAATCTGGTAAGTGGTTCCTTCCCCCCCCCCCCCCTTCTATAGCACATATGATAGATGAAGCTATGAAAAAAACGTTGAAATATTATGTTCTGCCATCTTGCTTTGAATTTTGTGACAGGTGTTGGAAAACAAATTTTTAAACCTAGAGTAGCCACTTGCTTTTGGTGGTTCTTTTAGATACTTGAGCAATGCTCCTAAGCTGTCCTGTGCACAAGAACAGGTTTTATTTGTCTCTGACAGCCTGTGGCTGTAAAGGCATTTTTGTTTTTAAAAAGTAGCTGTGTTCCCAAAGGTGTTTTGTAATAGGTAAATGTTTGAAACAGAAATAAACACACTAGAATTTGAATTATTAAGGGGATGTATTCCTGTTTGTATTTTGGGGTCTTGGAAGGATAGGATGGCAACTGATTTCCTGCAAGGCAATTGAAACTAATCCAGAACGTTGCCCTCCAAAGTTCAGTACCCTCCTTCCCTAGAGTTTCTTTGCAGGTCAAGTCCGACATATTGATAGTCTTCATGGACACCATGCAGTTGTAGCTGCATCCTGAAAGACTTGCTGCGTGATGTAAAATAGGATACACTTGAGCCTGCCTACTTCTGTTTCTAGAAGTTTCTTCTAGTAATTGCCACTTCTTTTAACTTTTCAGGCCATTTTTACATACACAGGACATGTACTTTGTATTTGTTCAGCTGTTGTCAAGTGGTTCTGCTTGGTTTGCCATAATCGTCATAGTAGTTGCTTGTTTGTTTATTGATGTTGTGAAGAAAGTGCTGTACAGACATCTACAACCAACAAGTACTGAAAAAGCTCAGGTAATGTTATGCCTTTGTATCCAACTTTATCAATAGTTAGAAGATAACATTTTTTAAAATCTGTCTTATAAAATAATTAGTTTCCTGTGATATTTAATCATCCTTTTATGTTTGTCATGTTTAATGCTTAAAAGAGTTTTAATTTTGAAAGATAACTATTAATTTAAAACTATAAAAATGAGGACACCATTTTACAAGGAAATAACGTTTATGTTTAATTGGTATTACCAGTAGCATAATTATTTATAAAGAGGACTGCTGAGTCTTTGCATCTCAACTTGAAACTGTATGAGTATCATATTACACATTTTTGCACTTCTTTAGAGATAGTAACTTATTTTCCTTTTTGTCTACATATCAGAAGCTCTCCAACTACAGTTGGCACTATATAGTTCTTAAAATGTGATGAAAACAATTTTTAAAATTAGTAGGACTCAGTTTAGTTAGTATTTCTTAAATCTTGATCGTGCCATATGCCACGTATTTGATTGTTGATTATGTAATTATATCACCCATGTGGCGTTTTCAGAAATTCATAGAAGTCAAAAGATACACTGTGATAATGCAATCTCCCTCTTACCAAATAGAGGCTACAGAAACTCCTTGAAATCATGTTGCAATTAGTCTGTCTGTCAGGTAAATATCTATGTTTGAGTGTTTTCTTTTGACTAACAACTATGGAGAAGTCATCCTGACCCATTGTTCTAATAGTTTCTGTCTATGGTTTTGGTTTTCAGCATTTTATCTTTTTGTACTTCTGCTAAACTGAAAAGGCTTCTATTAACAGGTTTTTTGCTTTGTTCACTGTCAGGTTTTTGATCAAGTTAATTTTCTCACTGATGAATAAATCGGGCTTGCATCTTTTGTCAAAAAGGTTATTTTCCTCTTAATCATTCTTGTGTTTCTTCTGTAATCTTTGCCATTCTTCAACCTATCTTGAATTTTGGATTTCACCAGTGGGCACAATATTATAACACAGCATACGTCAATGCCAAACATGGAAATAAAGAATCCCCGACCACTATTCAGTTTATGAAATCATATGCATCAATAAACTGTTATCTTCTGCATCTTTCTCATCTGCAGGTGATTAGGTTGATTTCTTCCAGGTCATTGATGAGAGGTCAATTAGCATAGGGAGGGAAAAAAAAAAAAGAAAGTGAATGAAGAATCTATTTGACAAAGATATCGTACATACAGTTATGTTCTGATGCCTGCTGTCAGTTTTTAGTCCGTTTGTGTGCCGTATTGACTTTGTTGTGTCCTAGTTGCTTAATCCAAATTACGCTGAGCTGTGTGCCCCACATACGTCATAACTACTTTACATCAGTAGCTGACTTTAGCATCTAACCTTATAATTATTTGACGTACATGCATGCTGATGTACTTAAATTATATTACCCTTCTAATCTGTGTATTAAAAAAAAAAAATCTGTGAGACATTCTCTTGATTTGCCTAGGATTGACATCATTCAGAGAAACCTGTTGCAAGCCAAAATATACCCTTAGTCACTTTTCAAAACTGGAATACTAGCAGGTTTTTCCCATTTTTGAATTTAGTACCTAAAAGCCAAGGTAAATAACCACTAGCTTTCAGAAAGCTGTTCAACTAGACTTGATAAGACTCCTGATTGCATATTACTGCACTCTTTGGATTAAAGAGTCTTAATTTAGGAAAAAATCTGTAGGTAAGGAGAGTAGTTACTTACCTTTCTTTCCCCCTCCCTTCCCTCCTCGCCCTCAAAAACTAGTGGCAAGATTTATGGAACACTTCCCTCTCCTTCCGCCCTGTACATCAGCTGTTTCGCAGTGTGTCAGTATGGTTGGTGAGGTTTCTCATGTTCTTTAGTTGCTTCAGTTAAAAAACAAAAAGCCCACATCATTTTTCCCTAGCTTGATCTATATGCTTCTTTTTTGCATTCTGCTGTGTTATGAATCAATTCTAAACAATTTCTGGCATCAGTTTGCTTCCATTACAGTTACGTCATCAAGGAGATAGTTGGACTTCTTTTTTTTTTTAAGAAGGAATCTTGATGAATGTCTAACACCTTTCCTGTGGCTATTGCTTCATTCATAGCCACAGGATTTTTCGTTGCACATATCTGTTAGTAATCTTTTTTCTTCTTTTTTTTTTCTCTCCCCTTACTCTCATTGTGCTTTGGCATTCGACAGTGTCAGGATTTGACAGTGTCAGAATTTGCATCTGTGTTTACCAAAATACTGTCTCTTTCTGAAAACATTTAGTTCCTGATATTGCAAACCTAAACTCTAAATCCAAATCTAAAAATCTAAAATCTGGTTTGACCAGAAATGCATCAGCAGCCTTTAGGTGGTTTCTGTCTTTGCGTCGGATAGTGAAATCATAGTTTAAAATGTATTTGCAAAAAGAAGGCACCTCTTTATTCCTTGTTTGAGGTTTTATCTGTTGAGATTTTCCCACTCTTACTTTAGATGGAACAATCAGCCCCACTGGATTTCATCAGCTGTTCCTGTAGTGAGAACTAGACATGAGGAAAGACAAACACATGACCACTTTAGCACATTCATTGTCAAGAAGTGACAGAATGCTTCTTTCATTATTATATCTCATTAGAGGTACCTCATTAGGCTTGTTTAAAATTTCTGGTACATATTTTTCTTTCAGTTTCAGAGCAGAGGAGAGGACTCATGACTTTCAGATAGAAACACATGGCGTTTGGAGAATGTCTGAAATACTAAGGATATTTTTTTGAAAGTCATTGAAAGACTGAATATGAAACTTTGTATATTGCCCCTTTAAATGCATTTTTTGTAGTGTAGGTGCACCCTCTGTGTAAAGGAGTATTTTTAAATGTAAGGCTAAATTAGTGTACTATGGGAAAGAAGAAGTTTAGTTTACAGTTACTAAGTGTTTATGAGGGCAAGATAAATTGTTACATGAACGAGTCAGTGATTTTTAAATTGCAGTTATTTGTTTCTGTCCACCATTACTGAAATTCTAAAATATTCTCAGGAGCAGTGAGCAAAACACAAGTTTCTCAATGGAAAATGCTTGCTGCCATTGTTTGAATTTTTCAGAAGCTAAGAGCACACTAGCTGTGTGAGTTGCCCAACCTAGTTCTCTGAATTCACTCAGAGTACAATATGCAATGCTTGGGTAGGCCTCTGCCTTACTCAGGAACTTGATTTTATATCTTTTATTTAGTTTAAGGTTACAGTATCAACAGTCAGCCTTCATCTCAGCAGTTAGATGTTACGTGTAGCTAAGTTATTCACAAGAGAGCAAAGAAGTTTAACTGGTATGAGAGAGAAATACTGAGATTCTGCTAAATATAAACTAAAAAATTGTTCTGTCACAGCAGCTTAAAATAAATAAAAATCTCTGTTCCATGTAGGAAGTCAGTATATAAAAAATTCTAGAGGCAAGCATGGGTTGACTTTTACAGAGGGATGAATTTGGTTAACTTTATCTTCCTTAAAGGCACTGAAAGTGCATGTATGTAGAATTTCTTGTTTTGTTTGTTGGAGTTTTTTTCTATGTTCCCAAGTGGTTTTTGCTGGTCTTAAAGAAAATACATCTTATGTTTGACTTCAGTTTGTTGCCCTGAAGTGGCTTCTAGGTAATTTCTGACTATAGGTCACTTACAGAATCATATAAGAGGAAGTGGACAGTAAGATAAATCTAAATAAAAATATAAATCTTTGGGTAAATACAAATCACAGCACTGCTGAGGAGAGAAGGTAATACTATATAAAGATGTCTGGTAAAGTATAGATGTAAAAGTGTATAGGCCTTTTTTCTCAGTATGAAAACTAAGATAAACTCAAGAATGGTCCTACGAAAGAGTTAACTGGCTGTGATGATCCCAGGAGCTGTCCTGAAGGTACCAGGCTTGTGTTCTGTATATGATGTGTATTCCAGATAAATAACAATGTCTTGTCCTGTGTCTTTCTATTAGAAAATTACTGCTGCTACTTACTGACATGTATGTTCCATCCCTTCTCTGTCCAATTGTAGATGTACTCCAACAGAGTTGCTTTAAGTGACGAGTTCATCGCACTGCAGCCATTGTCCAGGGCAAGGAATCAGCTGAGCAAAATTAGGTAGAGTAGGAGGGACAGTTCCTCATCAACTCTTATGCATGCTGAAGGTGAACTAACCAGTGCTGAGAGAGATGGGAAGAGGCATGAATATTAGTGGGTTGAGAGGGCAATGCCTCTAGTGCAGAAACGTTCAGTTTGGTTATTTCTTGGCTTTGCTCTGTGATTTTGAGCCAAATGCTTCTCCTAAGTAGCATGCGTTGGACGTGCTTTTTTAGGAAAAAACATCCCTAGCATGATGCTCAACTTTCAGAATACAAATCTAGCTCTTCTTGCATCCATTTATATATCACAGTTTCTAGCATGGTTAGAATGCTTTTGATTTCATTATGATCAAAATTAACAGTGCTTTTTGCATGTTGGATAATTTCAGCTTCATAAGGCTGTGACAGGAAGGTCCATATATTCTAGGCAGCAATTTTTGTGAATTGCCTGCCCATTTTAATTTGCTTTCTCTTGTGTTGGAAGAGCAGAAAATGTTTTATGTTTGGGTACGTACATACACTTGTGTGCCTAAGGCTTTTTGTGTTTGTTTTGTGCATCTGTAAAGTAAGTGTTGTTTGTTTTCAATGTGTATAGATACATATTCCTAAAGGCATTTGGCTATGAAGACCTAGAACATGATTTGAAAACATGAAAGTGTACATGTGTCTGTGTAGGTGAACCATTATGATTCTGAAACTCTTGAAATGCACAGAGTTCAGTACATGAAATGCTATTAAATGCTGATCCTCCTTTGTGAGGCTAAAACATTCATACACATCAGTAATGTTGTAACCTGTTTGATGTTTTATCCCACCCTTTTTTACTTCTATAGGAAGAATTAATGTGAAGAATTATTATTTGCCTTTTAAAATATTTTTTTTTGTTTAAGGTGACTTGCATTATTTAAAAATGTGAGAATAGGTGCTAGGAAAAACCAACCAACCTGCATTTTTGGGACATAATTGCTGTTTAACTGAGGAAAAGTAGGAAGCTGACATTGTAAATTATTAGCAGAAAATTTTTAGTGGCTAACTGAAACAGATGATACAAGTCTTTCTAAAGAGAAAGGAAAGAAGTGCTTTGTATTTCTTCTAAGAATGTGCTACACCTTTGCAAGGCAAAACTTGAAATGTTGTCCCACTGTGAAACCTATCAGCTTAGATTTCCAAGCACCTGAAGGAGGTAGTAGTGGGGTGGGTTTATTTTGGTTTGTTGGGGTTTTGTTTGGTTGGTTTGGGGTTTCTTGGGGTTTGATTGGTTTGGTTGCTTTGTTTTTTTCTTAATTTAGCCCTTACTAACTTTAAAATCGGCAAACTGCAGTATACCCCTTGAATTTTAGTAAACTTAGGAACATATTGGGGAGATTCTGCTGTAACAGCTTTCACAAACTAGCTCTTAAAAGTCTTAGTTTATCAGTGTCATGTAAATAAGTTACCTTTTTAAAATTCTGGTATAAATCATAGAATCGTAGAATTGTTTGGGTTGGAAGGGACCTTAAAAATCATCTAGTTCCAACTCCCCCTACTATGGGGGTGGTTTCCAGTAAAACTCTCTTTTCTAAGTGAATTATGTGGTTTATGATATCTACACCAAAGGTTTTATAAGAAAAGATTGTTAAACTTTCCCAAACTAAACACATTTTAAGGGTTATGCACCTGGATGGGGGGGGGGCCCCCCCCCAAGCACTGTCATTACTAAAATACTAAAACCAGAACACTTGCTAACTTGAGGGGATTTTCTTTGTATTAAGCTTACTAAAATGGTTGGGAAAAAAATGGAAATTTGTTCTGTCCATGCATAACAAATAATTATGCAAATCCAATTCTCTTGTATGTCAGAATTTTTGCACTTGAATATCTCGTAGTAAGATACCTGGAATATAGGCACTGATTGCCTTATGCTATGAAGTTGAAGTTGTAAAATGTGACAAGGAAGAAGTAAGGATTTGAGTTTCTCTAGCTCTTTATTTTTAGTCTTCAGACGCAGTTCAGAAGCTGTCCTGTGGACCCTAAAACACTAAAAAAGAAAATTGTTTAGTAGACAGAAACTACTTACTTCACTATACAAAATATAAATAAATAAATAAAAACAAAACCCAAACCGAACCAATTTGGAGTGAAGACTATGGATTAGTCTCTGTAGTTGTCCAGGGCAGCTCTTTTCCAAAAGTAGCAGAGCAGAGGAAGACTGTAGGAACATGAAACAAAACAGCTGATTGGTGAATGTAGCTGTAAGCTAATTTTGTCATACCCCTTTTGTACATGCCCACCCGGTAGCTTTGTGACTGCAGAATGTATGTATGTTGATAAACAGACTTTGGCAATTCGTTGTTGTTTGTTAAATATGTATTAAAAACCTCAAAATTATTATAGCACCAGCAAGTTATGTATCCTTCTGGAAATGTGCTTACTGTTCTGTTGCTACACAAAAGGACACCTCTACGAATGCAAATTAAGTCTGTTATAATAGATTTTTAATGTCTATAGGCTTCAAAGTGTGCAAAAAATGTTCAAGTTTATATTAAGTATATTTGTGCTGTACAGTCAAGAGCCTTGAGGGGGGAAGTGTGGAGGGTCTTTTAAGTGCCCATGTGATTCCAGTAAGTCAGAAATGCAGTCTTGTGTGTGCCTGTTAAACTCTTGCCTCTAAACTTTTCTGTCACTTTATTAACTTGGAAGGAAGAGATCAGTCAGCACAGATCAGGTGCAGGGTTTATGCTTAACTGGAAATTGTCTCAGTGCTTCTTCCTTCCTCTGTAGCTGCCTGTACTGTTCTTGAAACGTGAAGTGTGTATCTCAAGGTACTAGCTGGACCCCATTGTATCTCATTTCAGTTTGTTCTTTGTAAATGAAGTTTTGTGTGTATATGTATGTATATATGTCTCTGTGATTTATAAGAACTGTCAGAAATCTTAAGCCACATGTGCTAGGTGTTGCTAGGACAGATGTTTTTATTCTACTTACAGATGGGATTAACTGTGTTTATAGAGTTTTCACCTTTGGAGAGTGTGTTGCAAGTGTACACAATACTAGGGAAGCATAAAACACAAAGGTTTTTGTTTACAGGCAAGGCTATGACTGCATAACATTCTATCTGAGACACTCAAACTGTAGTATTTGCCTTAGCACAGCCAAGACCCTGTTCTTTCTCCATCTGCAGGCCCATGAGTCGTTGTTAGCTTGTTTTTCCTTCGTCTCTGTTCTCTGCTTGTTTTAGCTGTCTCCAGACTCCTGGCCCTGGCTTTACAGCCTTCACTGCTTGTTTGTATTTTTTCCTCTAGTTACTGTGTCATAGGGTTCCCCTCCTAATAGCCTATGTACCTGATCCAGATATGAAAGCTATACAGAAGTCAGGAACAGGTTTCTGTTCCTTTTATACATCTGTTTTCTGTAAGGAACGTATAGTTTCCAAGAGGACTGTTTAAGAGCAAACTTGCATTTGCAGTAGTGGAATATACCAGAGCATCTGAATATGTTAAACTTTGAACAAGGGTCATCTTCCTTTACAGGGTTGTATATTGTGTGTTAGCACAGTTTGGTGCTGGTCTGTTAGCTAGTCCATAGACTATCCCAGCAAGAGGGAATAAATGAGAGTAGACTATTTTGTGTTTATCATCAGTCACAAAAGTGCACATACTTACTTACCTTGCAGTACTTTTGTCTGATGACTTTGAAATAATGAAATAGGGTGGCATTTTTAGGTATACTTGATTCAAAGAGATGAGTAGAAAAATGTTGAAAACATAAGTGCTAGTGAAGTTGTTAGATGTCAACAGTCATATATTTTATTTTAAAATTTTAAATCAAATTGTTTGTGATTTTAATATACATTATATTAAGGGTGAAGAAAGTAAGCTTTACAGTTGGGAGCAAGGTTTAATTTAATTGTGGAATAGTAATAACCATCTCATATTTTCTGAAATAATCCGTGTGGCTAGGACGTGGGCTCAGGAAAATATGCTGCAGTGTTCTTACCTTGATGTACAGGGTTAAATATGTTCCCTGTTCAGCAAAGTCCCAACTGTATATTTCAGTGTGATTAAATGTTTAATTTAAATGTCTGTCTTGTGGCATGCAGAATACCCTGTAATAAGACAAACTGAAATTGCCCTTCCTATTAGAAGGGAGAAAACCAAACAAAACTGCAAAGTCTGAAATCAAAAAATGAAAAGTTGAAATAGATATCAAATTTGTTGAGTTCTTCCCTTTTGTAGTCTATGGTGCACAGAAGGAAGAGACACTTCTAATACTTGTGCACTGGTAAACTGTGTTTGATCCACCAATGAACCTGAAAAAAAAAAAAAAAGCCTTTTTACCTTGTGAATATGCCTTGTTCTCTCAAGAACAGATCTGTGAAATGAAAGTTCGTGTGAAAATGGTAACTGTTTTAAAGCAATGCAAGCATGGAGCTTTATAAGACTTGTTGCTTTTCTGTCCTTCTAGATGGAAGAAGATAAGGGTTCAGTCAGCTCAGCATGTGACTTTGCTGAAAGCAGGCACAGAGGGGAGGACAATAGGCAACTGCTAGATCCATCTAGCCTACCCGACAGTACTTACATTCACTAGGTAGTACTCCTGCTCTACCCTAATGTGTGTGTATATATATTTATACGTATCATATATAGACAGTCATGGAGCCATCTCCAAAATACCCATATTTTTGGTATCCACAAGAAAATTTGCATCATAGTTTGTGGGTTTGATTTTTATCCCCCCCCCCCCCCATTAAGTTGAACCATTCCTTAATTCTGCGCTTCAGTTGCTTTTTGAGTTATTGCATTAAATGGGTCATTATCATATAAAGTGTGATGTTTGTTGCGATCCTGTATCTTGCCTTATGAAAATACTTGATTTGCAGCCCAAATATTACTAACATAATAGATTTCTCTATACTTACTATTTGAAAGCACTGTGTCTTCTGCTTTTTGGTTTGTAAAGGTTTGTTTCAGGTCTTCAGAGACCATTATGCTGTACTGCCTTATCATGTGAGATTTTACTTTTGATTTAAAACTATGATCATGGCTGTCTGTCACAGAGAGAAATGAGAGAAGAGATTCTTTAGCATAATTTAAGTACCTTCCTTCCAGGTAGTGGATATAAATGTAAAAATCCATGTTCACCAGGCAGAGAGACAATATATATCTATGCATAAAATCAAACTTATTTTTATGCTGTCCTTAATGCTCTCTCCCAGTGTTACATTACACTCTGTGAGTTTGATAAAACATAAGTGTTGTTTCCAGACTTATGTAAGATCATTTTTAAAATGACCCATTTAGAAAAGGTTAAAAATAACAGCTTTTCCATAAATTGTGGTTCAAGCATGGTCCTAGATTTTTATGAGTATCTAACTTGGGAAGAACAAAGTTGATACTAGAAGAGACACCAGACCTCCAGAATCCAGAGCTGAGGGTTCATTCATTGAAAGATTGTTTGGGTTACTCTTGGTTCTTCTTTCTGCCAGTCTTTGAATATCAAGGAGTGCTAGCTTTCAGGTCAGCAAATTCTAGAGGAGGCGGGGAAATGTCTGATCCATCCGATCCTACATACATCCAATTTATTATGACCTTTAACAGAACTCTAAAGGTATGACTTGGTTGTCTTCAAAGATAATGGATGAACTAAATATTCTTCTCGAAATTCCAAGTGTAAGAATGTTGATTGTTTTGTATTGCTGGGAACACAACCACAAAGATCACTGCATACGCAGCAGGGAGTTTGTTTTCTGACCTCCTAATAGGAATTCCTTCTTCCCTGTGCCCTGTGTAATTTCTTGTCTGATACACTGGTGAGCGCAGTATGAAGTGGCTGTAAAGGCCATATTTGCTAATATTGCAGTGCTACAAGTGGTGCTATTCCTAATTATGTTATCTTACTGACAGTGCAGTTGTGACCAGGTGTGATGGTCATCAAATAAGGGCATTCAGGGATCCAAGTTCTGTTGGAGGTGAATTTTGTTTTAACCGAAACCCTCTTAGTGTAATGTTTCTGCTCCTGTCTCTTATTTTTACAGAAGTTCATTGTGGTAGTAAATGATCATTTTGTGTCCAGAAGACCTCTCAGATGAGTGTGAGTTAGTCAGAAGTGTGTGTTCTGACTGCACTCATTCATGGTTTTTGAGGTGCAGCAGCTAAATCAATGGTTTCAGCTTGTATGCTTTCTGTAAGTTCATCCAGTTTTAACTGACAGTCCTGTAAGCACCACTTTAAGCAGTGTGATGGGAATATCTGGAGGGACCATGGGGAATGCAGAGCAGAGCTGATGGAAGGAGGAGGCAAAGTAAAAGATGCATGGAAATACTAATTCAGAATCCCTTGATTGTGAGTGTGCTCCATTCCTGTCCTACCATTTGGTGTGTTTTCTTGGATTTCCAAATGCCTCTTGTTTCTTTTAGCAGTTCCTTCTTTGTAGTATAGGACTCGTTCTGCTACACAGCAGTAATTTGTCCAGTTGCCTGTTTGGGGGTATGAGGAAGGAATGTGTCCACTCACAGTAAATTGTTCTCTAGGAAACTCTGAGGTTCTTTGCTTCCCGTACAGTGTTGGGCAAGTGGAGATGTCATGAAAGAAAAAGGGGTTGGAAACTGAAGTCTTTAGACCAACAGCCAGTGACCTTCATGTGATGAAAACCTGGGGGGAAGCTCTTAGGTGAGCTATGTCCTATCATAGACTTAAGATGCCTCCACACAGTTTTCTTCATTCACTGGTGTCTGAGAGTGAGCAGAGGATAATGAATGAAGTGTTCAGCATTTGTTTGACAAGATGCTGTCATGGAGAGGTTCAAATTAACTTAAAAGCATCCCCACACTCCACATTCTTTGTTTGCTTTTGGAAAGGATACTGAAGTTGGTTTTGGATATTCTCTCTCCAGCAGTACTAGATTTCAGTTTAATCTGTTTATGTTGTGGTTGACTAGTGTGAAGAAGTAATATAGAGGAGCACAGTGATAGATTACAATTAACTTCAACCATATATCCCTGTATTACTACTTTCATTTTGTTTGGGTCTTTTTCTCACCTACAAAAAAGGAACAATAGAAGTTTATTGTGCTGATGTTGAATTATTCTTCATGTGGTCATGAACATGACTGTACCTTTCTAACATCACCTTTGTTTGCATTTAGATAAAAGATACGTGCAAAATCAGGAATGTGCTTTTGTTCCCCATCAACCTAAGGGTATCTGTGGTGATATAATGTAAATTATTATAGGAAGTTACATTTTACATTTCCTGAGGAAAAAAGTAGTACTTACAATCAGGTTTCTGCGTTGTATTCTGTAGCCCTGGTCTGAGGATTTCTTTTGATAGATTTCCCTTAAAATAGGGCAGACCTGCAGCTTGTATAAATTGTTGTAGCTCTGCTGAGGCGAATCAAGGCATCACGGCTTAAGCTGCATGACACTGTGCTCCACAGATTCATTATAGCAGCTTTATTTGCAGCATTAAGCAGAGTTGGTGCTAAAAGATCTCCATATGCTCACCAAGGCTGTATTCAACTCTTGGGAAGATCAAATTTTAGGAAGGGAAATGGTAGCATTATTGATCACTTTAGTTCTGTATAAAAATTGAAAAATATTCAACGCTCTAAGAAAACCTGTTTTTGCTACATGTTTTCTGATAACATCTTCATTGCTAAAATCTGCAAGTACTGATTTTTATTTTTTTTTTTCTTTTTACTTTCTTTTTTTCCCTCTTTCCAGCTTACTGAGGCAGGTTCAGGTATCAACTGCTTGGACTCCATGTGCTGCTTCTCAGATGGGGAAACAGCATGCACATCTATTAGAAGAATGCTGGAACGACTAATGGGAAGATGTAGTCCAACCCGGGTCAACAGGTGTGGCATTTCTCTCAATAGCCTTTGCTGCAGACGATTCTCCTATAAACTGGAACCTGATGAGCCTGCAGCAATAGATGTCTAGCAAACAAGTTGCAGGTTTTGCTTATTTAAGTAGGAAATGCAACTCTTTATTGTACTTTCTTCATCCTAAAATATTAGTTTCTTGTTTGGTTTTGAGTGTTTTCTTTTGGGATGGGGAGGGGGGAAAAACAGTTTTCAAATTATTTCTGTTAAAATTTAGTTTGGCTTACTGCAAGTTCTTGTGTTGTATCAATCCTAATTTCTCTTGATTTGTACATTCTTCACTTTAGAAAATCAAACCTTGCTGCTGTTTTTGTTCATCTTTTTATGATTTTTTGCTTTTCTTAACTGCCTTCACTAATCAGGAGTTGTTTGTAAAGTCAAAAGACTTCTCCCTTTTAGTTCTTGATGTACAACCTCTGAATATTTTCCTTGGAGCTTGCATGACTCCTGAAGATATACAAAAGGCTCACACTCCCCCCCTTAAATATAATTTTATTGTTAGCAGGAGAGTCTTTAAATCTTTGAGCCATTGATTGATATGAAGATGAAATATTTTTGTAGTCTAACTTTTATAATCTATTTCTAAAATCAGAGTAATTGACAGAGCAGAGCCTTCAGATTATAAGAATTTTAAATGTTTTTTTTTGTTCTAGAAGGTATGTTGTCAAAATTGTGTGTGCCATTCCAAAGTATGTGCTAAATAAATCTTTTTCCTTTGCAAACCACATATAAAACAAACTTCAGTGGCATAAAAGCATGTTAATGTAATACATTGAAGGAGCAATACCGCTCTTGTAGTCAGCATAACCGTGAGAGAAACTCTTACTAAATGTGCTGATGTGCCATCACCCTATTTCCAGTTAAGATGGGTAGCTAACAAGCATGGAAATATTTGGGGGTAGAAATAAAAGTAGTCTTTTGTATATCACAGTCTCTCAGTCCCTGAATGATATCATGGTCAAAAGGCAAGCGTGAAAAAGTTGCACTTCATACATTTTCAAGGAAACTCATTTTGTATTTGAACAACTTTGTCTCTTTTGGTTAAAGGTTGTGATATCATTCATTCAGTATAAAATCTTGTGTGGGTAACTTCACTGACAAGCTTTGTCAGTTCTGATTCTGCCTTTAGGTATTGACTTGGTATATAGTACATCTGTTTTGAACTCGTGTTGAGCACAGTGTCTGTGGTTTCAGTAAGTTTCTTCTGGCTTGCTTGTGAAATTAATTCAACATTTCTACAAATTCTAGGGTACGATTATGCAAAATGTTTCATTTCATATGAAAAATGAAATGTTATGATTAAATACATTTCTAATTCAGACTCTTGCTGTATAGAAAGCAGGCATGATGTAAAAAATAAACAGTTTAATAGCATTTTTAATCTACAGGGTGAGCATTGAATTGGTCTAAAAGAAATCAACATTGTGGTAGCAGTGAGGTTTTGGGTATTTTCCACTTCTCTACTTTCCTAAGGAGGAACTTCTCATGCTACTTTTCTATTTACTTATTGTTATCTAATTAGGGCAGATATTTAGTTAACATTTGCCTTAGTAATGCATAGTCTTATAAGGTAGGCATGCTGTATTTTGTTTTCCTGCAGTGCATTTACATTTTTACAATGTCTTCTTTTTTCCCTTCTGTTTTTCTCTTTGAGAACTTAGAAATATTTATTGAAGGTAACTCATATTTGACAGAATATTAAAACACTTTTTGAAGACTGCTTTTTCTCAGATTTCTTGTCTGCTTACCTCATGCAATTTTCAGATGAAGTTCCATCAGGCTGAATAACTTTAGAGTTGTTAAAATGCAAAAGTTAGTATTATGTTTAAAGTATACACAAGATTATCTTGGTGCTACATTAAGGGCTTGAAGTTCTGTAGTTTTTGCTTCTGCCTGTGGTTGAAGTTACTCTGAACCATCTTTTAGTTACACTTTATGTACAGTACAACTAGAAAAAAATCTCAGTCTTAAGTGCTTTCTTCAATGACTTTGGTTCCTTCCACTAAGCATTGACAATTAAAACCTAGTTTAAAAGTCAAGGTACTAAGACTATTTTTATCCCTGCACTTTCCTGGAAATATGTGGAAGTCTTTATTTTTTTAATGTACTAATTGCTTAAATCACATAAGGCAGTTACAAGTTGTGAAATTCTGAAGGTACAGTTAAATTATTTATTGATGTAAAAATGCTTATAAAACTGTTCAGCCTTTGTTCACACGCTTGAGCTGCCTTGATTTTTACCTAAATCCTCACAGATTGTGCAGTCACCAACACGATGATCTTTTGAGTGCTTGTGCTTTATAAAACAGCTTCTTACTCAGCCAGGAGGTAGCTGCATATTATTTTTCTTGAATGAAGTGATGCTGATAAATGTCATTTGTGAGAGTGCTGTAGAATGACGAGCACTGTTTTAAATAATGTTGCTGTAGCTAGCATGTGTTGTATTTTGTGCTGTTGATACTCTGTCAAATATGATATTCTGTCAAATACAATAACTGAATATGAAATAAAACATGGTATCAAATTTTGATAGAAACTTTGATGAATCAAAGTTGTACAAATGCTTGGAGTAGTGGGCCACAGGAATATAATCTCTTGTACTTAATTTACTGCTTGTAAAATGTATTCAAGAAGTATTTTCTATAGCTTCAATCACCAGTTAGAATATAAAAAGTGTGGTGTGGTATGATAAAATGCATTTTGTCTGTCTGTTCCATTAAATTGTCTGTCAACTTGTCAGTCACTAAAATATTAAGAATGCCGGATCACATACATTTCTTGTACAGTAGGATTCATTACTGAATTGTTCAGATCTCCCATTAGTCGTATTTGTGTCAAGGCATTGCATGTTAAAGTTCCAAAGAAACAGCAGATTTCTGACAGAGGCAAACTTGGAGGGATAAGTTCATTATATGTTTGATTTCTTGCCTTCCAACCTTATATTTTTCGGCTTTTCACATACAGTGCTATAATATCATTCAACCAAGAAGAGTATTTCTTCCTAAATAATAATTAGTTCTTAAGAGAAAGACTTCGCAAATGTCATCCAAATCAAAAAATGACATGTTAGGTAGCTTTCCTGATGCCTTAAATTTTAACTTAAGGGATTAAGTAGATTCATGGTTGTAGATAAGTTTTGCCTACCTGCAATTTTAGACATCCTGGGTGTTGAACATTAAAACACCAATATACAGGGTTACCACAAACAGACTGTGTGTTCCACAAGGATTTACTTAGAATGACTTTAGGCTATATCAAACTGAAGCATTCACAGCGCCTCCGTTTACACATGCAACATTAAGACTTTCCTTGAGGCATGATATTAAAACCTTAGTTGTAAACTGGTGGATAAACCTCTGGTCATTTTCATAGTGATGAAAATATCTGTAGTTGTAAGTTTGCCAGAAAGGTAAACGTGGAACTGGTAATTACATAGTTGGCATGATTAATTGTAGTCTATGTTCAAAGGTTTGAATGAATTACAGGTGCCTACATGAAATTAGTAGATGGAGTTACATTTACCTAATCTCCTAACACTTTTATCTTTTGCTTTCATAGACTTTTCTCCTTACCTCTAGATTATAAGTTCCCAGTCAGCCAAACTTTTCTTTTATTGTTACTTTAGATCATGGAGTTCATCGGATCCCTTCTATGCCAACGACAGAAGCATCTTGACTCTCTCCACAATGGACTCACCCACTTGTTAACCAGGGCGTTTGTAAATGCCTTGTGGAAGCTCACACACCTATGCGAGTTCAGTGCTACACCCCTGTCCTAGGAAATACTAGTATCACTGCTAAATGCAAACTGTGGCTTGTCTTGTGGCCTAGTATAAGTCATCTGGACAGTAATCACTCCCAGGATTTTTTTTTAATTATATCCACAAATTGCTAACTATATATGTATGTATATCTCAACATATATATATAATATATATTTTTTTTTAAGGAACACTTTTACTTCTGACCATTTAATGTTTTTTGTTACTGTATGAGCAGATTGGAATTCTGCATTTGATACTTGAGACATCGCTGTAGCACAAAAACTCCCAAATTTAAGTGACCCAGTAGAACTGAATTTGCACAATTAAACTTTAAAGTTTCATTTTCCATGATGACCCTTCATTCTAACACACATTCACTTTGACTTCTCTCTTACAGATGCTGCCTTAGCAGTTTGCAGATCAATTTTGTTATTTCCATGGATGGTTACTATGTTCTATAAGCAATCCGTTTAGTAATTTTTGAGAGTTAAATACAATTCAGATATTTATGCTGGTTGCTGGTGTACAAATCTCAGTGGAAATATGTAGGGATAGAGGGCTTTGGTAAAACACTGTTAACTTTGACAAATCAATAATTTGGAGTAATAAGGGATATAACGGGTAAATGTTTTCTTAAAGTATAATCCAGAAGCCAGTCATCTTATGCCCTGTGTGTTTTGTTAACAATTCTTGATCCTTACATGGGGAAAAAAGCATGTAAGAATCAGTGGATTGTGCAGAAGTCTCACTAGCATAAATACTTTGAATTATTAACCCTTTTAAAGTTGGGGATTTTTTGCATGTTTTATTCTTTTTCATGTGTTTGGTCATATTGTACTTTGAAGATACAGTTAATGCTTAATTATCTTCATATATCTGAAGAGTCTGAGACATTGATATCTATGTTTTGATACCTAAGTATGCCAATAAAAACAAATTGCACAGATGGAGCTTGGCATGGTACATCTTAGACATAACATCTGTTGTCCCAGTATAAATGTGCATGTTTGGGGCTGGGTAGCACCATTTGCCTGTTGGACCAGCCGGGATGACTAAACCTATGGTTGTCTGTGTATGTGGGAGATAAATTAGATATCCAAATGTTGGCCCAGAAGCAGCAGCATTTTTACCAGCCTCTAGCCATAAAAACTGCTATACCTAAGGCATGCTCTGTGGCTGTCCCTGGGGGCAGCACCTGCATTTCAAATCAGTCTTTGACACTGAAGTCCCATCAGTAACTGGCAGAATCTTACTATCAAGAGAGTAAAACATGTAAAGCTGCGTATTAGGATTATCTCTGGGTGGCATAAACTACAGATCAAAGACAGACTGTAAATACCTACAAGAATTTCTTTAATAAAGATGTGGTTAAGCGTAGGATTTGAACAAAACCAGTACTAGCTGCTTTCACCCTGCCTCCACAAGTTTCCACTTTTGGCTTAAGTACTGTCCCCCAAGCAAATTACATGGCAAATACTCTTTATTTTGTAATTCAGGCAGCCACATCTTATCCTTCTGGTATGACATCTCAGTGGGGCCTGGCCTGCTGCCAGAGGAGTGTATCCCTCTTATTGTAGTCATCCCAAATCCTCCTGACTTCAGTGAGCTGCAGGAGAGGAAGTGTTCAAGAGGTATTGACTTTCTTTGTATCGAATGTCCTGGATGTTCCTTACCTATAAACAGCTCTGCTATTCCTTATTCTTGTTAACGATTTAACTGGTATTATTCCAGTTCTCTTAATTCAAAAATAAGTTTCAACAACTGGAAGCTTCACTCTGAAGTGAAGGCTGCAGGTACTGCTGGATTTTCAAGATCACATTGTTCGAGGCAACGTTTGTGTAGTACAGAAATTGTTACTGCAGCCTTGTTTTGAAACTTGTAGTGATTTGAATGTGCAGTACCTGAGGTTTTTGTCTCACTGCTATAGATGAAGACAGAGCAGTTCACAAATTAAAAAGCTCTTAAAAGTTAATGATGAAACAGAAAAAACAAAATCAAAATATAGCAAATTTTCCTTTTAAATAACTGTTTAGTTTGGTGTTCATAGCTCATATCTGTATTATGCCTTCAGATACATAAGTGCAGTGAAGTTTAAGCTTGAGAATTTCAATTGTACAGCAGATCCCCACATTGAGTGTCCAGACAATGAAGATTCACTGAAAATTGTGTCTGTTTCATACCTGGTTCCTATGCAGAGGCTATAAACTGATTGTCAGCTCTCCAGTCCTGAAGAGGACTTTTATCCACATAAGCAATAGTAATGAGAGATACTTGAATTTCTTTCATCTTCTCCTGTAACTTAACTTTATATATTGTATATATAATATTGAATCTGTTTTTTAAATAATTATTTTCTTCTTAGTTTCTCATTCTAAGTTTGTACTGCTATGGGTGCCTAGGAATAATTCTTCTAAGTACCCTAATCAGGTATCTGCTGTTTACCTGTATCTTTTATGTTGAAATCAGTGTTCCATGTTTCAGAAGTACTTGTTTGTCCAAGTCGAACACAGCATTCTTATCATCCCTTCAATTTGTGTGCCATGCAACCTCATCACTCTGTGTGGTTAGTGTATCACATACTGAAATATAAACTGCCATTTTATGTAGTAGAAGGCAGAGGCTTTGGATATATGACCCCACTCCAAGCATTGAGACTGGCTCGGCTCTGTACATAGATAAGCTTTAGGCTTTTACCACACAAGTGTGTTAATTTTATTTGCACACAAGAAGCACCATCATGTATTTGAAGAATAATTTATGTTCATTATGTGTTTCTTTAAAACCTTCCATCTTCTCCCTCTCCCCCTGCTTTCCCTTTTCCCAGTGTTTGTAAGGTCACCGAAGAAACATGCATTTAAACAATTCAGGAAGAACTTAAGAATCCATCTGTCTGCCAAGGTATATTTTTCTATTTGCAGTAAATCTAAATCCATAATTTCTCATTTAGTAAGAACATAGGAGTGGTTTGCATAGGACCAAATTTCTTGCTCTGACAAATATTTTGGATGCAAGAAGTGACTGTGGTTTTGTCCTGATGTCAGAAATCTTTTAAACTTGCTTCTAGTAAAAAGACAGATTTTGTGTATTTCTGTGGCAGCTGAAGTGTGTGAAACCATTCACTGTGTGTTGGGTACAGTGTAGAATTCATGAAGAAGACTGAACAAAAGGCAGCTAATTCACTAGCATTCATCTCACTGATTTACAGTAGGAATGGATGAGGAAGAATTTGCCGTAGAAAGCAAATGTTTTAGAATTACCTCTTAGCCTCGAAATCTAATGTACGGCAGAAAAGCCTGGAGTAGATGTTTTAACAATGATGTGTCGTCACTTTACTATGCAGTCTCTTTAAAGAAGCACCTTCTCCTTCACCCCCTTCAGAATGGGACTGAGTTCTCAGCATATTTTAGTTCTTGTTCTGTGAAAAGTAGGGTTTGGGTTTGTATACACAGTTGCCAAATTTATGCTTTTTTAAAAGGTGCAGTGGAAAAGATGAAGTACAAAGATGCTCTGAATTGTTTCACAAACTAAAATGTAAATATTATGCTTAAGATATTCTGTGTAATTTTTAAGGTTATGAGGAGAAGTGGGAACAAAAAATGCAAATGAAGGAATGCTGAAAACTGGCTTTACATTTGCAGAATGATTGCTTGTTTTTTAGTGCAAAAGCTGATTTGAGGAATGATTATGCAACTTAGAATGCGTATTAGGCAACTATAATTTCTTACTGGAAAACTTTGGTAATACTTTCAAACAGGGGTTTTTTTTATGACAGTACAACTTCTATATTGAAAAAAAAATCTCATTTTTCTAGTGTTAGAAATGTCTCAAAGCTGTAGTCTACATTATTTTTAATAGTTTTATCTGATTGTTCTGTACTCTAAATATTAGTAATTTTGGTGAAATTTGGTGTTCAAAAGTGTTTGATCATAACGTGCTTCTGAACCATTTGAGAGTCTTGTTTTCTTGGTGTAAAATACCAAGTAAGTAACTCCCACCAGCACTGCCATTTACAGCCATCACTGCTTTAAAAGAATTATGCCTAGAGCTGGGTGAACCCATCATTATGGACTGATTTTAGACTTTTTTTCTGCTCATGTTTTTTTTTTGGTTGTCCTTCTGTATGCTCTTTGATTCTGTTGTTTGCTTCCAGTTGCATGATTTGTCTGGTTTCTGCTCTCTATTGGAATGACTCAGTTTATAACAGGAGGAGGAAAGATGGGATGCTCGGGGCTGTATCAGCATTGCCAGAAGCACAATTGCATCAGTATTTGCAAGGCTTCTGCTTTCCATAGATTTTTTTTTTTCCTTCACCTAAATACTGCTCACAGAGGCATCTGAAATAACTCGGTAGAGACCTTGTGTGCTGCCCAAGCTTCTGTGGCTTGTGTTGAAAGGAATGTTCTCACCACTTTGAAGTACACGCCCTTTCTGTAGCTGTTGCCACACTATGATGTTGATTACAATAAGTACATACAATTGTCATTACTGTAGGTATGACTTTTTTTGTTGTTGTTTCCAGTTAGTATAAATGCATAGACATGAATAAAATCTGCAGGGATGAAATGTTAAAGACCTCTGCATCTGACATTCAGGGGAAAAATTGGTTATGACACAAAGTATGACTTGACTTGTCTGAAAGATACCTTGAAGTGCACCTAAATGGCCTGTGGTTTGTATTGATTTTGCCTCAGCCATTTTTAAAGAAATTACAAGCATGTTCTCCACCTTTTTATCTTTTTGCAATGGGATGTAAGGGCCATAAGAGTTTAGGAAGGGGAAAATGGTTAAAAATGAGACCCACTTGCAGGTATAAATAAGGCCTCAGTACTGCAACAAAGAATAGATTTTTCCCAATTCCTAGTTACGGTCCCATGAGAGATTTCAGGTCCTATGCACGCTAAAATAACAAAGTGTCTAGACTGCTGGGTTGTTGTTTTTTTTCCACTGAAGTGTGATCAAATTCTGCTTCCTTTTTTGAATTAAAAAAACTTGAACGATATCATCTCTGTAGGAATTACCTTTTAAAGAGGTTGAGCCTTAATTTTAGGCAGATAAGGGGCATTGACAACTGGAAACTGTAGCAATAATTAGTACAAGGAATTTCGGACCTCTGACACTGTGGCTGCCTGATGTTATTTTTGATTCTCTTGACAGCAGGTCTGTGTGCTTGCTCATTGTACAGCTTGGTCAGTAAAAGTTGCTTTAAAAATGGTTTATGAAAATTATATTTATTAAATAAATCTTTCGCTTCTGAGTCTGTTTTAATTATGTATGTGTTAGAGGAAAATACTCCAGAGTAACACACTGCTTGCTGCTCCATTTAAGAGCACTGACATGAGTGTGGAGGGTACCTCTTGCCCAAGCTTGCTGCCTACTCTGGCTGGAGAAGTCAACTCGTAAGGGGTGGGTGGGAGGGGGATCCCTGCAGCAGCTGTGCTTGGCCACTTTGACCAGAAGCACCAGCTCACAGTGGAGACAACCATCAGGTTTAGTGATCAGTTATACCACAGGCTTCATTCTTCTGTCTTCAACAGCACATGGCAGTGAGCCTCCAGAAGGCTGCCCAGCCTCTCCCCACACATCTACAGCTCAATTATTTCTCCCCCTTGCAGTCTTCCTGCTCCTTATTTATCTATAGGGTTGTCACTCTGGCTCTGTCCAGTTGTCCTTTGAACTTTTCAAGGGAGGGAGGGTTTGAAATTTAATGTTCTGAACATACAGAATTGTAAAAACAGTTGTAATTTCATGAAAAGCATTCATGATATTTGTTAAATTGAGAACCTGAAGCCAATTAGTGGATGCACTTCCAGACTGGGGGAGGAAGGAAGGAGAATTTTTTGTACCAGTTTAAATGTCCAGACTTCTGTTTGAGTTACAGGTGTCTGAACAGTCAGGCTCAAAGTGTTTAATCCTGCCAATACTGCTACATATTGGTACCAAACCAGTCAACTAAGCGTTTCAAAGCTAAGACCTATTTATGACAGATAAGGTTACCAAGTATTCAATGGAAAGTCTACTCTTTTGAGAGCTCAGAGGCCTTAATGGCACCACAAGTTTAAAACCCAAACTTAGGCAGTGTACCATACTCAAAATCTACAGAGACTTCTGGCAACATTATTCAAATAAAATGTGAATGACAAGTTTTATTAAATGCATTCTTAAAAAAGTATCTCTTTCTTAAATAAGGATTTCTCAGCATGGATTTCAATGTAAAACAGTTTTGAGTTAAGTCATAATAATTAACAGGATCAATAAAAACATCACTTATGTACGGTAGTCTTCAATCATATTTAAACATATGCACTGCGTGTGGTGTCCTCTTTCACATGCTTGATGATGCCTGTGCAGCATGGCTGGACCAGATCAGCTCCATTTTGTACTTGCACACATTTAGAATAAGCAAGGGGTTGTAGCAGCTCTTAGAAACTCCCTCTCCCCCCCCCCAAAAAAAAAATGGCTTACCAATAATGTGTATTTTATGCAGAAGAGTATGCCATGCTGCTTTTTTCCCCTGCTTAAAAGCACATTTTAGAACTGTCTTACAAATAATACACTGAAACAATGCATGAGAAGACTTCACCATGGCAATTTCACTGGAGCTTTATTGCCTCTGTTGGTAATGAGAGGGATTGTAAGAAGTTACATTGGAACTTACAGAGATATGTAAATGATGGGGTTTTTACTAAATATAATCTTGAAGTTAAGTGTTTTGTTTCAGGGCACTTCTAATTTTGTACATATTTAATGTATAAAAACAGGTTACAAACATGATGCTTGCCTTTTTTTTTTCCCTTGACATTTGGCAAAATTAAATTGATTCCTTTAAGGGGAGATCATCAAATTGAAGACATAAGCACTTACGAATTAAAGCAATCCAAGTAAGTAACTGGCTGAATTCTTAAAAAACAAGAAAAAAAACACACAAATATAGAAGGAAAAAAAAAAAAAAAACAACAACACATGGCCACATTGAGCACATTTCAATGCAAAATATTATCTGTAACCAGGCATTTTGTCCTTAGAACAACACCCTGTTAAATCAATGTTTCTTTCAACTTCAGTCACTTGTTCTGAAAAACTTTTAAGATGCCATCATAGCACAAAATAACCCTTTTCTGCAACATAATTAGTCAAAGTTTTATGTATTTCTTTATAATTACACAGTAATTATAAGCATGTAGTACCAAACTGATGACAACACTATTTTGTTGAAAAGATCTTGCATTCAAAAGGAATATTCTTTAAAACACCACGGCATTATGCCACTACCCAGTCTCAGACTTTTTTGAACAACAAGTCTGTCCTGGGATGAAAAGCAAGTCAGTTCTCTCCAAACACAGCATACTTGAACTAATCAATCTGAAACTGTACCAAAACCCTCAAGACATAAAACAGCACGTATATATACCTCGTAGAGCTTTTCCACCCCCCCACCGCCTCCCCCTCCCCCCAGTTTCAAGTCCCCATTTATATTTACACAAAACTGAGAAAGGAAATACTGAAAGCAGCAAAACACACAATTTTTGGCATAGCCAATTCCAGTAGCTGGAGAATGTTTGCAATGCTTTTGTGGAACAGTATTCTTGAAATAAATGCACAACTGGATTTTCTTAACAGGGCACTGCTGCAAGGGGAGTTCGCCTTATGCTCAACTTCAGAGAATACAAATATTCTTTTAGCAGTTCTTTTAACATCTGCATAAAAGCATTTGCTGTTCAGGGGAAATGCCAATTACTCATTTCAATTATAATTCTGGCCTTATCATGGGACTGTTTAGAGTATGGACTTAAACTTATCCATCCTTACTTGTAATGATAGCCTATCTTCTCCTGGCACCTGTTCTTTTCCAGCTTGTTTTACATACCAGTATTTCTCAAATACCTTCACAAGTAACTAAGTGAGGCATAAAAGACCATGTTTAGCACAAAAGGAGATCTCAAGTTCTTGTAATATTAAAGAATGGCAGCTGATAAAACCTGTTTTGAAAAAAAATGAACTTGATTTAGTTAAATGTGATAAGAAAATAAGAAGTAGGATGATCCAAATAATTTAAGCAAACAAAGCCAGTATAGTATTTTATATCTACCTGATCTGTGCTTGTTTGGGAAAGTTTGACTCTCAATTTCTATATTTGGCAACCATAGCGATAAGTCAATTTAGGGAAAACTCAAAAAAAGAAAAAGGATGTCATCCATAATGGCAGTACCTCTATGTTATAAAGAGTTAACTTGCTTCTCAGGATAATGGGTTTGAAACCTAGATTCACATCAAACTCGCCAGCTTCTTGTAACAATAGGGCCATTGTTTCATCATACCTCAACCATAAAAATTACATGTCTCAATTTAAAATACTGTATTGTGTAGCAAACATTTAAGACACAAATTCAGTATATTCAAGTTTTAAGATTTCCACAGAAATGAAAAACCTTTCTTTGACAGACAGATAAGAATTTCAAAACTGTAATGAAATCTGATTTCTTAGATAATAACCTAGAGAATATTAGATTCTATCAGGACGCACACAGTTTATCTCAATGACACTCACTGAAGGCTGACTATAACATTAAACACGGGTGCTTTAAGTGCACAGTAGTTGAGTCGTACTTCAACTGTACTCACAGTCAGCTGATGTACAATCAAACCATTCAAATAGGCACCTAGATACCCCAGTATCAACAACCTTGGGTTTTCTTGGTTATTTCTGTAATTCTTTTTATCAGATACTCAAACTCACTTAGACAATACCTGTACTTTTCCAGAACAGAAAAAAAAAGTTGTCGGACCCAATACACTTAAATATATCACTCTTACAGGAAGTGCTATCAGTAAGTCTTTGCAACTAGCCCCAAGTGTATATTTAAGGATGCTTTTAGAAATTGTTTTTATGTTGGTCTGTATAATTCAGATGCCATACAACAGTTGCCTGATGATGACCAGCATTGTGCTTTATGTGAAACCAGAAATCTCAAATAATTATAAAGCTTCTAGGATTTATGGGAGATGAAACCAGGATGGTCCACCAAAAAAACAAAAACCCACAAAACAAAACCCACCAAAAAAAAAAAAATTCATGATGAAATCCACACTGTCGGAATTCCAATGGGCAAGAGCGGTCCAGACTAGAAGAAAAGCCCAAACCACTGGTAGAAGAATGAAATATGATATGGTCCAAGATGTATCCTTAAAGGTTTGTCTCAACCCTCAGCCATATTGTGAGGATTGATCTTCAGTTCAGTCCAGCCAGCAGAAATTGACTGTGCAATTTTCCATTTCAGGTATTTGTACAGACTATGTACACTCTAGAAGGGTCCTTTAGTGCTACACTGTCGTACTTTTTGTCCCAGCAATTTGAGGGCGTGCAAATTCCACAAAGTCATCAATAAGCACTGGCCATGCCCCTAAAAGAAGAAAAAAACCACACCATAAGAACTAAGTTCAACAAGGCATTATTCTTAAAGCTTCAGATCTAAACAAGCTATTTACTTCCCAGTCTTATAAGCACAGTTTTCAGGAAAAAAACAAAACAAAACAAAAAAACCAACAACCAACACTGTAATTTGGTTTTCTTGCTTAAAATTTGACAGCTGGTAAAAGACTTCTACTTCCTTTAGACGCAGTTAATATACATCCCTTTTGATGGTCAAAATTCCTTCATCTTTCTGAAAAAAAGACAAAAATTCTAGCTTAAAACTGTCCTGGGTTTAGCACTAGAACTCAAACTTGACCTCCAGGATGGCAGCAGATGCTTGAAAAAAATGTCGAACACTAGATGAAGCAGTCTACATTGTAAGCAGCAGCACATCATAACATGCATTTCCTGCAGCACTGTACAATGTTGCATGAATACAATGCTCATCTGTTTGAATCAGCATACTTAGCCATACCTGATCAGCAAAATGCTCTCCAACAGCCAGCAAGAGAGTATAACACCCTAGAAAGCTGGTGTTACACTATATACTCTTTCGTATTTCTTATCAAGAGGCAATTAAAATTCCTATCAATATTTTACATATTACAGGCAGCCAAAGATGTCCCCAGCCATGTGCATGAATGTCATGTGAAGGTTAAAAACAACTGTGGGTTGGTTTACACTTTCTCAACTATTCATCTATTGTGGACAGCAGCCCATTTGCTCAATGCTAAGGGAATGAGAACTGCCTGTATTTATGAAATCAAGTTCCAGAAGCTTGCTCCCTCTGCTCTGGAAGTGTCAGAAGTTTATAGCTTCTTCCACTCACTGAACTGATCTGCCACCAATGACTGAGGGTAATTAGCTGGTCTTGGCTACAGACTGACTGGAAGAGGAAAGATCAATACAGAAATTTACAAGAAACACATATAGTAGGAAATAACAGCTTTAGCAATCTCTCTATGCTGCCACCTTAACTTCTACGTTATGTGTCTTCACACAAACTGAAGCAATCAAACTTAAAATATATCCTCAGCTAAGAAATGCAATAGCCAGAAGACCCTATGAGGAAGTATACAGGCCATGAACCAGTTACTTAGTTGAAGATGCCAAGAACTCTGCTGACAGAAAATCTGCATTTTCTAAATAAACAATAGCAAGGTTTGCCTAAATAAGAATTAGAGTCTGAGCTCAGACAGAAGAAAAAAAGAAAATGGATTTAAGAAAGTTTCAGCATTTAGTTTTTAAACCTGAAATAACAAACAGATGACAACATGCATTAAAGTAGCTCTATCCAGACATTACATTACCAGTGATATTTTAATTATGCTATTAGACAGGTGTGCCAAAGCAGATACATAGTAATAAATATAGTATAAAACAGAGAAGTTAATGAAAGAAAATGGAAATGTTTTACCTTCCTCATCATAGTTAGACATATCATCTGCTATCATTGTACTAAAGTCTAGAAGAAGGTTCCAGGTATCCTTAGGAATTGATCTTTTATGATGTTCCTGTTTGGAGGGGTGGAAAATTAATATTAAAAAAAAAAAATAAAACCCCTTATACACACTTGTTTTTACTATCTTGAACACATTAATATTCCCAGAACATATCTTGTTTGTACACACTATGTAAAGTGCAGTATCTGGGATCTGGGTCAAAACAGTCTATTTCATCTACTTGGTAATTTAAACGTATCTTCAAAGTTTTGAAAATACTGCAGTCCAGTTTACGTAAAACTTTAAACTTACCAACAAAAATTTGTTCCACAAGTCTAGAAATTTAAATCTTCCATTAAGTACTAGATTCCAGTACGCAATGGCCATTTCTAAATCTGTAATATCAAAATATATTACTTTTAGAGATACACGTTTCAAATATATCAACTCCACAGGCATCAAACACTAAGATGAACCATATATTCATGAAGATGAAAAGATTCATAATGCACATATCCTCATGGACCCTTTACAAAAAAGCAACCATAAATAAAGCATTATACAAATATCTTCTAGATTTTTATACTATCACTTGAATAAAGAAGAACTGAAAATTGCCTATATTAATATCTAACATATTCAAAATATGCAAGAATGTCATGTGCCTTTTGTACTGTACAAGCAGATGGCTGGTTTGTTGTTGGTCTTTTTTGGTTGAGTTGGGGTTTTTGGAACTGACATAGCTCAGGAACAAGAACAACCTGCTTCTGGTCAGGCAACTGCATGCTGTTGTCAGCAGTGGGTGCTGTTACAGTGTAGCAGTTAGAAAAAGAGACTGGTTAGTCTAGCATGTAAGGAAAAAAAAACCCTCACCTCCCTGGTACTTGCCAAAGGCTAAACTGACATGCATTTACTGTTTATTAGGGGCATACAGCAGCTTGTTAGCTGACAAAAGAAACTTACATATCTGAGTTCTAAATCTTTACCTAGTATGATCTCCCTTACCAGGAATTAACAAGGACCTCTGACTGTGTAACAAAATGCTGCTGTGATCTTACTGAATTCAGTACCCATCACAAGTACGTATAGTAACTCCAAAAGGTTACCTAATCAAGTGACGTCTTTTTTAACAAAAGCTCATAAGCAATCCTCTCGTGAGAGCAGAGAGAAGCACATGATCAACTGCACCTCAGGGAAAAAAGAAAACTAAAAAACCTGACAACCCAAGATGCTGGAACTATTTCAAAAAACAGCGAGGTGGATCTCAGAGGTGAAATCAACAGCAAACAAAACAAAGCATGAACTCTGCGTTGCTGGAGGGAAAATAGATGGTGACGGGGGGAGTTCCAGAACTCTCTACTAGTTTTGATATTAAAAGTTCTTCTCAAACAAAATACTCACATTATAATGCTTCCTGGCCAAAGCAGAAAATAAAATTACTGACTGATTTTCCAGCAGCTAAAAAGGGGTGTGATTTCAGACAAAAGTGTAAGCAATGTACACTAAAAAGCGTAAGTTTCAAGAGCAGAAACAGAGTCACTACTCCCCAGGAAATGAGCTGTATGTGAAAATGAGAACTTCCTAAAAGAAGTGCAAAAACTAGGTGTCCCTTTTTAACAGAAGATTCAGATACAAAAATACGCACTTCAGCTTTCAACTGAAATGACTTTCTAAAATTTTGACATGCTTATACAGTTTTGAGATTATTCTTCCGCTAAACAAAGGCCTTTAAACAACAGATCTCAGGATGCTGCCACCTCAAACTCATTACTGTGAATCCATAAAATATACGTAAAGCACAAAGACATAATGCCTTAGGACAAACTACATGTTTTGAAGAAATTTTATGAAATCACAAAATTGGAAAGATAAAATTGTACATTTTCGTATGTGAATGACTACTCAGGGAAGTCCTCATAAATCAGATATGAGTCTCAAAATACGTGCTCCATTTTGAGTTTTATCCAGAGATGCAAACAACGTTTGAGAAGAGTATCAGCTAAAAGGTATTCTCAACTGATACGCAAATATCACAAGAACTTTTAAGACAACCCCAGTACTTACAGGGTAGTAAGCAATTATGCAGAGGAAACGCATTTCCAGAACTATGCCTCAATTACTACAAAGTGTTTGGATGATTAGAGACCAATATAAATTAAAATCAATTTGCAAGTTCCTACAAGCTGTTATTTAGACACTCCAAAATTAATTGCCTAACAAGAAGCACGCACTTTTCAGCACTGTATTTGTCCCAATATTCTTTTGCTTCAGGGTTTCCAGAATTATTCTGCCATATTGTTAAACTCATGCCTGAAACTGTGTATTTACTGGCACCAAAAGGGCTGGTAAGCATCCAGATTTTAAGCACAGTTCTACATCACTTCCAAACCAACACGGAAAAAAAAAAAAAGCCCAAACCAAAAAAAAAGCCACACAACCAAAATAAACCATCTTGTACTATGCATATGCTATATGGATCTGAGAAAACTGTGCTTGTCTTTGTCACTGTTAGAGCTTAGCTTGCATAAAGCTCTAATATGAATGAGAAATAAAGCAAAGGACTTAGTTTTCCTGGTAAATCATTTTTACTGAAGTCTGTTCCATCTGGGATACTCAAAAGAATCATTTCTATATAGGGTTAGGGAGAAAAAATTCAAAGAATGCAAATCTTCCTTATACCTCAGAAATGTGAAGAAGAAAATAAAGAGGTTAAGTACAACATCAAATGGTATTCTGGTATTCTGAAACTTCGAGAACATTAAAAATGACCATTTAATCATGACAACATTGTAATTTCTTATTTCACTTTTACCACCTTACAAGGGTTTTGAAAAATACTCCTTGTGGTGTAAATTTGTTTAAAAATTAAAACCAACATAAAAATGGTAACCATAAAAACAAAACAAAACCCTGCAACCATTCATATTGCAGAACTGATTCTACACTGACACTCTCCAAAACCTAACTTGTCTTCTCAAAATTCAGTTACTGTCCATGTTTTTCTCGTTCTAGCAGCCAAAACAAATTAATACACCTTTTACAAGAAATAAGAATCAGCCCTTTTATTTATTTGCAGGATTCTGATCTGACTACCTGCACACACAAGTATTTTCAAAGTTTAGCAACGCTCTTTTAACTTCTTCGAAGACAATGAAACTCACAATTCAACTGAAAACAAAAACCTGAACACAGAAAGATGTTAAAAATGACAGAAAGTCAAAACTAAGACATGGAGATTTTACTTATTTACTTATTTTTCAACATTCATTTTAAGCCAGAAGTTGGTCTACGTATAGAAAGAAGACAAGAAAATGAAAACAGAATGCTTATTTTTTCACAGGACATGAATGCAAACCTGGTCAGTAGCTGTCGGTTTGAGGCTTTTTCATTACTGAAAAAAATTCACAAGCTGCCAAGTTAAGAACCTACTAGCCTTTCAGTATTTTATTTCTGCTCAAAAGTAGAACAGTTAAGTTAGCATTCAGAGAGTCATGACATACTGCTAGTTATAGGTAATATCTGAACTACTCTGTACATAAATTAATATGCATTCTGGTTGGTTAACATTACTGCTTCAAAGAGATTTTTGTTCCCTCATTTTTGCTCTTCTGAATAGACAGATCTACAGATTGTTCTTTCAGTTCCATCAGAACTGTGTTGTGCCATTATTTTTAACAAGTGATTCTTTCACTTCACCTGTTACACAAATCAGAAGCAAAATCACTAGAAGAGCCATGAAATAATGGGGAAAAAAAATAAGAACCAGTGAGCTGAGGAGAAAAAAAAAAAAAGGAAAAAGGCTGTAAGGCTGTAGGGAGGCACCCATCACCAATGGCACAACAACAGGCATCAAGACCAGGATACAGAAATTTATTTTGTACTATTCCACTTCTATTTTGCCAAGACATCTGCAAGCATCTTTGGTGATACAAGAGACTGTACTAGTGTACTTAGATGGAAATCAGTTTTACAGCTTAAATCTGTCTTAAAAGTGAACATTCAATTAATCTGTTCAGTGCTGCAAATTCTAAGTAGTATAATTATGCCTTTAGTGTAAGGCCATAATCCTCTGTGCTTACTGAGAAATGCACATACTCTCTGTTAAAGAATAAACCTTCTCTAATAAAATTTTGTAGAATATAGTAATGATGCAGATATTTCTATCAATTTTAACACCTCAAATTGACATCTCTCTTTCACAACAGACAGGTGTATTTTATCCCAAAGGTGGTAATCTTTTGGACTCACTGGATCACAGTAATACTTTCCCTTACTGCTTTAATAAGTCATTTCCCATATTTATGAACAAGTATTTACAATTAAGAATACTTACCTAAACCTTTCTGCCCCGGATTCTTTGCAAAGTTGAAAGTAAACTGATAAAAATCCTTAAATCTTCCTGGCTCTTTTAATTCTTGTTCCATTTTAGGAATCTGGGCCTTCAGTTTTTCTATGCTGTCACATCTGCATTTTAAAAAGCATGTTTATTGGTGTATTAATTCATTTTTCCATAAAGTATGAGTTATAACTTAAATAATTGCGGGGTACAATATAATTATTAAAAATTCAGGAAGCCATTAATTAGTCTGCACCTATACAACTATTTCATTTATTACACTCCCATTTGTATATTTTAGCTCATACACTGAATTCCATAATACAACTGATTTTAGAAAAATGTGATAAAGACTATTACATTTTCATAAGGCAAAGAAAACCCAGATGTTCTAGACTGCAGACTGACATCCTTGCTTTACCCACCTGAGTAGCTCTATGGCAAATAACTGAAATACACAACCAAGGCAAGCAGCACTCAAAGCTGCCTCCCCTTTTTTGGTCACTAAGCATCTAGCAACAAAGAGAGCAGATGCATTTTTACAGAGGCAGACAAGCAATGCTAGACTCCAAAAAGTCTCTGAAGTCTGAAAGGACAATGTGATTGTGAATTCCCAAAACAGGGCTGTGTCACTGTATATTCCAGTTTCTGACACTGGATTACACTGTCCATATTAATACTTGCTGCATACTTACCCTAGCTCAGTCATTCCATCCATGAATTCCACCTTTGAAAATTCACACTGTGTTGCAGCTCGGAATTTCCATGCAATGATGAGTACAGTAATGCTGGCTGGGTCAAGAGCTAGATCATCACAAAACTGCTGTATACCATCTATACCAATTTTATTTTCATCTTGAGGATCTTTGGGATATAAAAGTAAGTATCAAGAAAAACAGATTTTTGAAAAAGCTAATATATTCCATAACAGGATTTAAGATTTTCATAACAATATATTTCAAACATTTTCATGACAATATTTTGGCGATCAGGCCTTATAAGTGAGTATTTTAAAAGCAAAATTAAATTAATATTTTCAAAGGTTAAGCTTTAAGAATTGAAGCAGTTACTACAATAAAGCCTCCCATACAATAAAGCTTATGTTATTTTCATTGAGAGACAAAAGCAACACAAACATTTGTTTTCTGCCTAATAATATGCATAATACTGCGACTCATTCCATACAGAGAACAGTCGTCCTTTCCCACCAGCTCACTTAATTACTCGCATCTTTGGTAAGACTGCTGATCCATGTACCATTACAATTTTGCAGTGTCCATTCGCAAGCTGTACTGATTATGGTCAGAATGACCAAATCTGACCATACACTAAGTTAATCTTAGTTTTACGCATTTTATGGCAATGCCAGCATGCATGAGACTGGACCAATCCAAGAGGAAAGTCACGCTGCCCTATTACTGATTTCAAGTCAGCCAGGGACACTCCTTTTTCCACAAAGGAGTCAACATCTGGTCTGGAAGTGAGATGCTCACATTTCAAGTGCACTAACAAAGATCTACTAAGTTAAGCCAACAAAGACTTCAGGAAAATGGTATTTGGATTACACACACATACGAAAAATGACAGAAAGCATTCATTTTCAGATTTTTTTTGAAGTGCTAAACCACAGAATTTGTTCTACTGTACTGAGTCCCCTTTACTATTTGTGGTAGGATATCATCAGTTCAGCACTGGCTAAATAACTTTGTTTTCTTTTCCTCTCTGTTTGTAACTATTTGATAAAAAGGACAAGATGAATAAAAAGACAGAATCCATCCTTGGAATGCAACCTGTCACTTTGTCAGGATCCAGTCCCAAGTGATGGGCTTCCCCCAGAACAATCACCTAAAATCCATATTAACCATTACTCACTGTACACACAATTCCAGTTCCAAGACCCTATCCTGTATAAATGTGTGTACATTTTAAGCACGTAAAGCAATCACACATAATCCTTGTGAAGCAGAAGCCTACATATATTCCCCTTCAAACCTGCACTAATAATAGGAAAACCAAAGCTGAAAGAGTCAAGATTTCAAGCACAAGAGCACAGCTGCAATGATACACTGTAATTAAGAATACATACATACAGCTATGAAATAACCTTAAAAGTCAGGGTACTCACCTTTGTATCTATTATAGAGCTGTTCTAGCTTCTTTCTGTCCAATGATCCTTTAACACTCTCTCGTATATAAAGTTCAGGATTTTGGAAAAAGTTATCTGTTGCAACATCTAACTTCCAGTCATTTTGAGACAGACAACTCACCGCTGTCTTTTCACTAGACTGTGTGAAGACCATGAACTGACGCACTTTATCCTTCTGTGACGATTTCAACTTGTTCTAGTAAAAACAGACAACACTGTAACTAATTTTTTTTTACTGGACACACAAAAAAAAAAAAAAAACCCAATACCTAAACCCCAAAACCCAAACAAAACTAAACAATTTTAAATTAAAACAAACAAACGCACCTTACCTTCATTCTAGGTACTTCACATTGTATCCAAACTGAGTTAAATCATCACAGAAATCATGCTGGCAAAGCAATGACAGAAATAAAAGAATGGATGTTCTTACTGCGTATTTGGTGAGAGAGCTAAAAAGCACTGGAAATTCATATGCAGCTGTAGGCTGGGACACCTTTCTATTTATACCAATTTTCAGGGATTTTTTTTAATTAAAAAAACACCCAAAACATCCTCCTCTTAATAGAAGAATGCTACACCTATCAAAGGAGAACTGAGATCCCTAAATAGAACCCATGGCTATCAAACTATTGGACAGATTGTCTCAACAGATGCAGCAGATCAAGCCATTTAATAGCTTACCATCACTGAATCAAAGGTTGGCACTGTTAGTCCCAGCTGAACAGACTAACAGAAACACCAACTAGTGCAGGACCAGGCGCAAAACCATACTGCCAGGAACAGAATCTCTTGATGTCTCTTGATGGCAGCAAGGAACTAGGTTGTGTCATCCATTTCACAGAGCTACATGCTGAGCTAACTTAAGCTCCTCAACATAAAAAGGACATGGAACTGTTGGAACAAGATCAGAGGAGGGCCACAAAGATGGTAAGAGGACTGGAGCACCTCCTGTATGAAGGTAGGCTGAGAAAGTTGGGGCTGTTCAGCCTGGAGAAGAGAAGGCTGCGTGGAGACCTCATAGCAGCCTTCCCGTATCTGAAGGGGGCCTACAGAGATGCTGGGGGTGGACTTTTCATTAGCGACTGTAGAGACAGGACAAGGGGTAACAGGTTCAAACTGAAACAAGGGAAGTTTAGACTGGATAAAAGGAATAAGTTCTTTACTGTGAGGGTGGTGAGGCACTGGAATGGGTTGCCCAGGGAGGTTGTGAATGCTCCATCCCTGGCAGTGTTCAAGGCCAGGTTGGATGAAGCCTTGGGTGACATGGTTTAATGTGAGGTGTCCCTGCCCATGTCAAGGGGGTTGGAACTTGATGACCTTAAGGCCCTTTCCAACCCTGTTCTATGATTCTAAGAGAATAGATATGTTTTGAGGTTTTTTTAGAGATTTTTCACTTTGAAGCTGCTCAACTCACCTACGTGGTTTGCACAACACTCCTGTGAGGAGGCATTGTTTCAGCTCACAGGTGCAACAACTGAAGCTAAAAAAAAAATGTAAGAAGAGGGCAAGTAATTTTGCCAGAGGCAGGCGGGGGAGTGAGTAGCCAAGATGAGAGCTCTGGAATTTCAGGCCTCCTGCCCAGACCAAGACACATCCTTCTCTGCTCTAGTGTAAAACTGAATGGAGAACTTGCTGCCAGTCATTTATCAGCACAGAAGGATTCCCAAGGGTATTTTTTTTTATGAAAAGCACACTCACTATTTCAGGGCTATTAGTTACACAAAACTAACTGCTGATCAGGAGAAAGCCGTCATACAGCACTGAATCCAAACTCAGTTCTGAAGTACACTTGATATATTCAAAGCAAAAAGACTCCTAATGTTATAACTTGGTAAATAAAAGTTCTAACTTTTAACTTGGAATTAGATTTCTTACATGGCGCAAATATTTCATTTGCCGTTTACCTTCCATTCTAACCAAAACTTGGATATTTTCATTAGTGTAATTTCCAAGTGCATGGCTCCTTCTCAGGGACTATGGGGAAAAAGAGAAAAAAAATCTCTAGACATGATAAATTATCCTCAGCTAAAGAACAAATAGCTTAGGAGTAGTATGAGCTCAAGCTCCTAATTCCAAAGGATCATTAGTTTTTCATTAGAAAAAAATAACGCTTCAGAACACAAATTCATCTGTTCTAAAAGTCAAAATCAGTTTTCTGCTGCTTGATGACAGTGGATGTGAATGCTAGAGAATCACATTCGGCTTAAACTGACACCTCCATAATATACTAAAGAGACCAAAACCCTTTAACTTATGATCCCTTAAAAAGAAAAAATTAAAAAAAAAAAAAAAAAACTATTAAAAATAAACTCCCCAAAACAAAACAACCCTGTAGCTACAATACTCAGCTAAAGCCAAAATTTCAACACACACTCCAGACAGTGACATTAGGTTAGGCTATACTACTCAAGTTACAAAGTGCTGCTGCATTATTTCAGTCCCTTGAATACATTTCTCACATTGGACCTTTTGCTACAAATATATTTCTGAAACTCAGATTTTCAGAAATGGTTCCAGGTAAAGGTAAAACCATCCATGCAGGTCCTGAAGACCCACTGCTGACTACTTATGCTATTATGACTATTTCCCAGCAGACATTCAGCACCTTATAATATTGAGCTCAAGTTTCCACAAAAATCACTTACGCTCGCAAAGCCATGTGGAATGACTTCCAGTAATGACTAATGGATTTTTAGCTGCAGTTTTCAAAAATATATTGTAAACTCTGGTATATTAAAACAAACCATTGAATGAAATTCCATATGAAGATGAAACAATCCCAAGGCTAATCTTCTGTACCAGTTACCAGCTTCCTCAAATCAGTGCCACACAACCAGACTGCACATCACTACAGACACAGACTCAGCTACACTTTACAAAGCTGGTGCCTTTAATCATTAGGTTTTTGTTTAGGTTTGGGGTTTGTTTCTTTTTGCTTTCTTTTGGTTGATTTTCTGATTGGTTGCCTTTGTTTGGGTTTTGGGGTGTTTGTTTTTTTTTAAACACATACACATAAGTATACACAGCCCTTTTAATAATGAGTATTCTGTAGAACCTCAAGAGGCTTTGTTCTGCCCTACTTCTGCAAGAGTAAACTCTAAAAGCAATGACATACAACAAAAAGTCAATGACATACAACAAAAAGTCAAGGAACAAGTTTAAAATGGCTTCACAGTGGATGCTCAAGACCACAAAAAGTAGCATGTTTTGAGTACTGCCACTTAAAAGGAGAATGCAACTTATTAGATTAAAAAATTGCAGTGTAAATCATTTTTATGACAAAATTTAAATCCTATTATGCACAAGAGATCTTCCTGTGCTTAGGACCCCCTAAGTGATACTCACAAGGTAAAACCTTTTTAAAAAGAACACTGAACTTGCCAAGAGTCAAGCAGCTAATGACACTAATCAGTACAGCATTCACTAATACATGAAGATGCGATAAATCACACAGTTCAGCCATAATCTTTTGCTGAAACAACTATATTTTTACTGGTCAAATAAAAGTTCATTTTTAGTGAAGAAGTGCCAAAGCCCCTTCTTTATATTTGATGAATGTTTCCGCAGGACCTTGCCAATGTGGATGAGACGCTCCACATCCCAAGTGACTAGACAACTATTTGAAGGCCTACGACAAGACAGCAAGAGAAGAAAATACTGCTGAGTTTTTATTATGCTATTACAGCTCTACTTTCATCACATTAAAAACCTCACACTTCAAGCAGGAACAGGTTCCAAGCCCTCTGCATTTTTACCGGCTATTTCTAGAAGCCAACCTCTAACAGTCTATTATTGTTTTAAGTGTGCAATACAGAAGCCAGAGCACCCTATAACCTTTAATCCTGTAGTCATCAGGCAACAAATATCGCACACTGCAACTGTACTTGCTGTACTGCAATGCAATATATTTAAACTGCCTCAATTTTAACACTAGTAAGGAAGATAGAATTTTGACAGGTATCCACCTTGCTAAAATATACAAGTGAAACCCAACGGAAAACAAATGCAACAAATTTTCTAGTAAGTCTTATCCCTTGGTGTAAGGGGAAAAGGAAAAACTCAGATCTGAAAGCCTTTGATCAAGCCTGTGTGATAGCCAAGCTACCTCTCATAATGAGGATGTCACAGGAGACAGAAGATGAACTTACCTTTAAAACACAGAGTAACTTCTCCAAATGAACAGCTACATTATCTATTCCTAAAACTACAATAATTGTATCATTCTAATGAATGTCTGATGCTGTAACAGTGATTTTTAAATGAAAATTTGCCTCTTCCCACAAAGTACCAAATTTGACAATTCTAGTTGAATAACCTATCCTTGATCAAATACTTCAGTAAAAGATTAATAATGAAATTAAAAACATAATAGTACTTGTGCATCCCCCACCCCAAGTTGTCAGTGGCGTTTTATTTCTGGCCTGACTTTCCCAGCATAAGGAAAAAAATGGTACAACTGATGTGCCAACTCGGACTACACGGTTGTTTTTCCTTACCTTCTACATTCAATTTTTAGTCACCTCAGATTCACCAAGTGAGACCCCACTTGGAGTACTGTGTGCAGTTATGGTGTCCTCAACATATGAAGGACATGGAGCTGTTGGATCAAGTCTAGAGGAGGGCCACAAGGATGATTAGGGGGCTGGAGCCATATGAAGGCAGGCTGAAAGTTGGGGCTGTTCAGCCTGGAGAAGAGAAGGCTGCATGGAGACCTCAAAGCAGCCCTCCAGTATCTGAAAGGGAGCTACAAGGATGCCAGAGAGGGACTCTTCATCAGCAACTGTAGTGACAGGACAAGGGGCAATGGGTTTAAACTTCTAAGGGGACTTTCAGATTAGATATGAGGAAGAAGTTCTTTACTGTGAGGGTGGCGAGGCACTGGAACAGGTTGCCCAAAGAAGTGGTAAAAGCTCCATCCCTGGCAATGTTCAAGGACAGGTTGGACAGAGCCTTGGGCGACATGGTCTAGGGTGAGGCACTCCTGCCCATGGCGGCGGAATGGAACTAGATGATCTTAAGGTCCTTTCCTGCCCTAATCATTCTATGATTCTATGAACAGCTCTGCACAATGGTGATTGACATTTTCTGGATAACTAATAGCTGTATGAGGGCTCCACTGTCCTGGATAACATCCATGGGAAACAGTAACAACCTTCATCTCACACTGCCTGGACTGGAGAGCTGAAGATTCCCACCAAAATCCCATTCGTGGCCTTTGCTCAAAGGTTATATGCAGCCATCAGCCAGAAAGTGTATAAACGGTTTGAAGTATCACTGCCCAAAAGTCCTTATGGCCCCCAGAGAAGACATTCACACAGTTACTCCTCAAGGAGTAACTGATTTTCACCTTTCCCTTCCCAGCCACTGAGTAGAGGTGATCTGATTCCTGCTAGTTTCACTGCTAACTACAGGAATTTGAATGACGTGATGATACCTGTGCTTTTGTTTCTATAGTCAAAGAAAGCCTGTTAAGTTCTCATGCGTGTGACAGGTAAAAGCCTATTCTAAAATAGTATCAACCTCCACAAACTCTAGGCTTTTATACTAACTGCATTTATACTCTAGCAAGATAACTAGCTGCGGGAAGCATACTTGCACTTTTTAAGGACCCCAGTGACGTCAGTTCAAACCCAGAATAACTTCATCTCACACGCAGAACGGGCTTGTGCATGTAATAATAACCTCACAAATCATGACTGACAGTTTTGTTGCATCTTTATATGACACTAATGGTCAAGAGAATATTGTTCCTTTACATTCCATTTGGGCTGTAACCATGAAAGGAACATAAAAGACACCTGGCAAATAATGTGGTTCACTGCTTGTATTCAACAAATACATAGCTGAAGCTTAAATGGCAAAATCATGAGTGTTTTTATTAGTTAACTAAGAAAACAGAAATTCACAACAGAAGTCATGAATATACTGAATTACATATGAATCCATTATCTGTGATGGCATACATGTATACTACCAAAACCATCATAAAATGCACGGTAAAGACAAAAACAATTCAAGTAAATAGCCACAGCTGCTGTATAATGTAACCAAACATGTCCCTCAACTACTTTATATTTTCTACAGCAGCTTCTTGAAAAGAGGGCACACAAAGTAAGATAGGCAATTTTTAAGCTTCTGTTTCAAAGTCATGTGAAATCCATTTGCTTGCAGTAGAATGGAACAAAACAAAGATTTACAAGGTCTGCTGAGGTATAAAATCTAAGTAAAAAAATAACAAGGAACATAAAATCAAAGTTGCTTTTTATGCCCTCTAATGTTCTTTTTAGTGGACAAAACAATTTTAGTACTTGCATATGAGCAGAAAGTCTTAGAACATCAATATAAAGCTACCTAGAAGAACGCAGTAGTTGCAACAGTCTTTTTAGGTTATTCATATTACCCCAAGAGGTGAAAGAAACACCAAAAATCTAGACGTACTCTATTAAAAAAGGACAAAATAAAGCTGTCAGTTGTTTAGCATTCTTAACTCTGGTCCAGGTCAGAAGCTGCATTCATAGCTTATATTTGCATTGGCACCATAAAACATAAGTAAAATATCAAGAGTTACATAATACTTTTCACACCTTGTTCTCAAAGTAGTTCATATTCCTGAATAATTTTTTTCATGGCTCTAGTTAAAAGCAATTTTACAGTATAAGTTCAAAGGACTCTCTGGTAAGCTAGAAGAGGAAACAAGATCATGCACCATCTTGCCTAGCACTCTGACTACTCCATCCTAAGCGTAATGCCAAGAATCTCAAAATTTTACTACAGGATAACCAAAACCAAAACACGTAGTATCGACAAATTGCTATGGACATGAATATTCACCACAAAAACAGCCTTACAGAATAGCTTGTTGAATGAAACACTGCATAACAATGTCATGAGCTACAATACCATTACAGGAGACAGCGTCAGACATGAAATTCTTGTAATACTAAATTTTTACAATTTCCTGTCACCTGAGGTTTGCAGTAGGAAATTATGTATTTATCAGCATAGAAATATTCTTCAGAGACTATATTGTACAATATAATAGGCGATGTAAACAGAGATAAGGTTAACATTTGGCTCTGGATAAATACATGGATACTCACACACTTGCCTTGACTATCACCCATAGTCCTAAATTCATTAAATCATTCAAAATAGCACAGGTAGTGGCTCTTCTCAGAGAGCACAATGGACCAGCTTGCTGCTCTATCCTGATTCGCAGGCACATTACTTATCCTTGCAGTGAGATGAAGCAATAACATACTAACAGGTAAGGTGAAGGAGATGCTGCTCAGCTCAAAGGAGAATGTGGGTAAGAGGCAGATTGCTATCAGCAACCCAAGGAATGCTGCCAGGGTGGTGTACCTGAGCACTGGGCAGAAAACACTTTTCAAGTTTCCCAAATGGCCAGAGTGAACCTAACAGGCTGCTGTAATGGTGTCCCTCCCACATATTGGACAAAGACAGTTCAAAACCAGGAAACCTGTGTCCTGAAAACCACTGGACATACAAACACTGGCGAGAGTAAGTCAGAGCCAGAACTGCTCTAACTGGCAGTGCTACATGGCAAGTAAGAGCCAGGCCTCAGCTGCAGAAGCCTCTTCCGTAGCATTTACTATGCCAGACAAGCAATTCAGCCCCAGGAACATGCCACAGCCACTGGAAGGACTAGCCAGGGCAGTAGCGCATATGGTCAGAAAAATGGGATGTTGAATCTCAAGTGTCTGGATGGACATCTTCAAATCTCTGAAGAAGTCTCCCTACTCACCCCTAATTAAACAGAGAATTTTGACATACCACGAGTATAGGTACAGAATCCTATGCCTGGCCACTAGAAATAATTCATACCTGCATTTACTACTGCTTCAGCTGCAGGCTGTCATTTCATCCCACTTCAGTGTCTATGTCATCCTTTCACCTGGGTGTTGGAGTCAATGAGCACAACCTGGAACATAGCTGTTTGCATAGAGACTAACAACGATGCCCAGGGCCATGACTAGAGTATTCAGATACTTCCTCCAATCAGATAAATACCTATCTATCAGTATAGTATTGTTCCACAGAATTTATCTGCTACTTTTTCAATGAAGTATTTCCAAGAAGTCTTAAGCAGATAGCATTCTGCTGTTTCTCACAAAGCTATTCTGAGGATAGCATGCCTCACTATTTCTGTTATCCTGCCACTTGCTCGAGTACTGTACAATTTACATTTCTAATCACATAGCCAGCCAGTAATATCTGTCTGTACAAGACACCAACAGTGTACTTATTCTGCATACCTACACTTAATATATTGCAAGACAGTGCTAGGTGATTTTTATGGAAAAAAGTCTTCATAAAAAGTTGTGTAACATGGCTGCGTAAGTGCAATTTGAGACAGTCCCAGAACTACACGGTTACAGTAAGACACCTCTATGGTCTGAACTTTATCCAGACTTTAGTTTTAAGCTCCCATTAAAAAAAATAATAAAATAATCAAGTGAAGATCTATATCAAACTACTTAATTAAAAATTGTACTAGTAACATAGCCACAAGTTTATTATAGAGGCACCATCTAATACAGCACCACTAATTTAAATTCTGGGTAACCAAATTTTCATGCCAACATAACTCAGTTATAACTCCATCAGTTAAAGGTGACTTTTTTTTTTCTTTTTTTTTTTTTTAATACCCTTTTAACACTGCTGGCCAGAATAATATTAACTGCCGGTATAAGATATCTTTATACCACTACATATGTATCAGTGGATCTTAAAATTCCCTCCTACACCATCCTAAGACAATACAGCTGCAATAGTAAGTACAACTTTTAACTGTACAGGTGTAGCTGAAGCTGTACAACTCTTGTATACAGAGAAGGCATAGAAGTATGACTATAAATACGCTCCCTCGGGTGCATAAGACACTGCAAGTGACCAATAAGGAGCCCCCTTATTTAAAGCTAAAGAATGTCTTTTTCTTTGTTTTGGTAAACAAAATTAGCATGTTTTGTTCCAACCACTGCAGTTTTCCTCTGTAAGGGAAAAGGGAGAATGTCTGCCGATTTGCGAATCCATAGGAAATCCTCAGCTATAAGGAAAAAAAAATACTATGGAGAAAATACAAGATAGCTCTTCCTTTACAACACTTATATGAATAGGAGCCTTACCAAAACCACAAAACAATTATCCAGAAATTCTCCAGCATAATCCCAGTTCAAGCAGCACCAACATGCCCAAGTTTCCCAGTGAACTGACAGCACCTAATGGGCCCTGACCTCTTAAAATCCTGAGAAAAAAAATCCAAGTAGCCCCTGGTTTCTGGCAGCCTCCTGTACACTATCCAGTGGGATGCTGTTCACCATCCCACACAGGACACAGACAAGCTGCCCACAAAACATCTCTACTGCCTCTGTCCTGTGCAAAGGCGCCTGGACCCTCATACAAGGTGCAAGCAAGTACCTTGTCGCCGTGAGGAGGCCTGACAGACCCCCGCACGCCGAAGGCCTTCGCAGATCCCGGCGCCCCCCACCCTAGGCCCCTGCCCAGGGGCTACCTCTTGCCCGCCAGCCCCGCGGCCAGCGGCCCCGACCAGCTGCGCAGCCCCTCCCAGACCCCACACGCTCTCCCTGTCCTTCCTAGTATGAGGACCGAGGAGCCTACGAACTCAAAACCACCATGCCCCTCCTGCGGAGTCCCTGGGACCGGCCCTTTCGCCGCTCCCGTCGCGCCGCTCTCGTTGAGCCGCTCCCGGACACCCCAGCCCGCCACGACTAGGCCCAGCTGCCCCTGCGGCGCCGCTGCGGCTGGCCAACCTCGAGGCGCCGGGCTGGGCAGAAGCGAGGGGTAACCCAGGAGGACACTCACCATGTTGAGAGCTGTGCAGGCCTCTTCCCTCACGGCTCAGGCGGAGACTGAGGGCGGCGGCAGCAACGGCTTCCTCCGGCGGCAACAGCTCCCGGCTCCTCACGGGCCCTTCCGCCGCCTCCCGATCATGCGCAGTGCGGCGCATCCCCCGCGCCGGGAGCCGGCGCTGCGCGGCCGCGGCGCAAAGGGAGGGAGCCCGCACCGTGGGGCGGCTCGGTGCGGCAGGCCTGGCCCGCTCCTGGCCCCGTCCGGGTTTCCTGCGGGAGCGGCTGGCGCTAGCAGCGCGGCATTTGTGGCTGCGGCGAGAATGGCGGGCTGGTCGTCATACGCAGCTGAGGTGGGGGGTGCCGCGCTGGGGGAGGAAAGGAGGTCCTTGGCTCGAGGAGGGGAAGGGAGACGAGCCCACCTTAATGTCCTCGGGGTTGGGAGCGGGCGCCCGCTCCCGTCCCGCGGTGGGCTTGGTCGAGGAGAGGCCGCGGAGCGGGAGCGAGCAGCTGTGGCCTTAGCCAGGCGCGGCGGGGTGCTGTCGCCTTAGAGGCGCGGGCCTCCCGGGGCCCTCACCCCCTCTGCTGCCTCCGATCCCCGGGAGCCGCGGCCACCCCGCGTCCCTTTTCTGTCGGGGAAATTCCGTATTTTCTCATATACCTGAAATCAAAACGTTTTGCGAGGTGTGCACGCGCGTGGTGAACACAGGCGCCGCGCTCGCAGGAACGTTCGCGGTTTCTGTCGAGGGCACAGCCCCAGCGCATGAAGTTCCAAAGACGTGGGATGGAAAAAGCCCGTGGGGTTTTCAGGATGGATTCGAAAAGGATGCAGAAGACGTTTGCTGAGCAGCCACGGAGACCTGGGGAAGGTGAAGTCACAGGCTAACAGCTTTAGAGGCATTTTCCTACGGGACCATCTCCGTACTTGTAAGATCCTCCTGCTGGAGGTTGTAATCCCCTCTGAGCAGCTGTTGCTTCCAGGGGGCTGTTGACAGATGTAGCTTTTTCTGCAGTAGCGTAGACATACTAATAAAAGAGGTTGTAAGCATTAAGTCACAGATTGTACCAATATCCGAGACGGTTGATTTTTCCCCAAGAAAGCTTACTTTACCTACTGCAGATTTCTGGCAGCTGAGGAGGCTTGGGGAAGCAGAGTATTTGCTGATAAAATTCTCAGTAGTGGCAAACTGCTGATTGCGAAGGACGAAGGTTTGAGATCTCATTCTTGTTCTCTCATTTCCTGCTGAGCTGGGACCTATTAAAATGAGCTGCTGTATTTGTATTACATGCCTGATATGATGGCACACACACGAAAGAAATTAAGACTTCAGAAAACCATTCTCCTGATGTCCAGGGTTTATGTTTTTTAAAGAAAAGGGCCTGAATTGCTCCTCACTTATTTCACTGAAAAACAGAGCTAAGCTTAGATGGGAGTGTGAGGAGCTGAAGTACTATTTGGAGAGGAGAATGAGGCCTGACCTGTGGAGTGTCCAGTTTTACTGGTGTTCTGAAATGGTAAATTTAAGAGTTGTCTTCATATTAAGTATATGGTAATATATGTGAATTCAGCTATCCTGAGAGACGCTAGTTGCCTGGATACCTTGAATCCTACTGAAAAGCATGTTTCTTGGAATCGAGGATGGCTGCAAAATGGCCAGCGTAAACAGCCATGGACACTGCACACCAGCCCAGTCCATGTGAACCAGGGCATGGGAGGCAAAGCCAAACCTGAAAGTCTGTTTCACTGAGTTAGCTAATTGCCATCACCATAATGTGCTGTGACTCCTACAATCTGAAGAAACAATTTAGACCTGGAGAATTACTGTGACATGTAACAATAATCTGAGAGATTACCTGTGATTGCACTGGATTCCACAGGACAGAGACAGGATTTATAAGTGGCTTCTTTTTCCCTAGTATCTGTGAATCTTCCTGGTTTTCTTTAGTGCAGGGTCTGCTGGGTTGGTTTTTTTTTTGAGTGTGTGTCTGGGGACACACCATGCTTACTTTTTTAACAACTTGTACATAAGGTTATTTTAACTTTGAAGAATGTTGAAAAAGTCTTTCATTTTGCTTCTTTTGTTCGCTGAATAATGTACTAAGCATATTTTGAACGTTTTCTTGTTCAGGACCTAATTAAAAAGGTAGACCTGATTTTATGCATTCAATGTATGTTTAAAAACATTCCTTGAAAAATTCACCATTGCTACAACTTTTAGTTCAATCTATTATTTTCTTTGTCAGCCTGGGTTACTAATTAGTATTCAAATTAGCTGCAAGTCTGGTGGAATTTATTCTCAATACTTTAATGTTCAGAAATTGTTCCTGCTGTACCATTTTTTTTCTGGGAGTCAGGATATTTGAAGTCTGCTTCCAACTTTGACTGACTTGTGATTTGATCTCTCCAACTTACTAAATTACTCCACATTATGAATTCCTGTTGTATGAAATATAGAAAATCATATTTAACTGCTTTGCAGGAGCTTCTTATTAGGGCAGATAAAAGCAGATGATTCAGTAAAATGCAAATCAAATAAAACGTGTGAAATGCAGATTAATGCTGTTCCTATTGTGAATGCTACTGTTTTGTTGTTGGCTTGGGTTTTGGTTTTTTGTTTGTTCTGTGGTGGATTTTTTTGATTTGGGGGTTTGTTTGGTTTGGTGTTTTTTCAATTTCAGTTACAAGGTGAAACTACATGAGAAAATCAGTGGTTTTCTACTGCCATTTAAGTTTTAAATCTAGTGTTACTGATTTTAGTGGGAGCTACAGTAAGCTCTTCCGTCTTACTACAGTGCTTCCATGAGTACTTCTCAATTGACAAATCAAATGTAAGTTAACGTACCCAGAGCTCTTCACTACCACAGCCAGGCTATCTGGTGCCTCAGCCTGAGCCAGTTTGATTAGACTGCTTGAGTTATCTTCTCCATACATGGCACACTGCAGTAGGCATATCCTGCACAGCAGATGCTTCAGGCCACAGTCAGATGGCCCCAATTCCATTCATGTCCATATGCCTACTGGCAGGCTGTACATCTGCAGATCTAGATCTGCAGTTCAATGACATATGTGCCATCTGAATTTCAGAATTTCTGAGCAGAGGGAGATGCTTTATAAAACAAGAAGCACCATGAGGCTGCCAAAAAGTGTACGTGTATGCATTCAGAGTAAGTTGTCTAAATTGGGCTTTTTAGCTTTTGTACAACTCCATCCAGGATGGCACACCAAATCAGACCAGTGATAAACAGCTCTACTATTTGTAAACATGACACACATTTCAGCAACAGACAAGGAGGAAATATTATTCATTGTGCAATCTGCATGCAGTGTAATCACTGTGACCACAGTACATAATGACTTGTTTAGTTTATGGTAACGCTGACATGCTTTGCTTTGCTTTTGTTGTGAGATCAAGTGATGTTTTATCATCTCATGTGAACCCTAGAAAAACCAGTCAGTGATTTTTATGAATCCAGGTGTGTCAAATGCATAGTTGTGAATATAACATTGCTCTCTTTTACATTGACTTGAGCTCTCTAAAAGGCAGAGAAGAAGGTCTCAGGTGGAATTAGTGCAGAATCCATTTAGTGTAATCCCCTTGTTGAGAACTTCCAGTTAGAGCAATTTCTGAGGAAGAAGCCCCAAGCTTTATGAAGGATAACAATAACCTGGAACAGCTTGGCTTAGAAATGTCTTTCTAACCCACATATCTTTTTGTCAGCTACTTTCTACTCTAGAAAGTAAAACCACCAATTCATCTTACACTGATGGAATAGCTGTAAAGTGGTTACAACTATGGCCCTTTGCCTGCAAATGCTGACCCCATGTTTAAAAGAGCAAAGTCCATGAACTGTTCTGCACAAGGAGTTTTAACGCCACTCTAAACTCATGAAGTTCCTTAGCATCCACAGGTACAGGCACAATGGTCTGCTCCTATTCACCTGTTCAGCTGATATGGTTGGAACGTCTCTTATCAGTCTGTATTTTTTTCTGCATTGAAACAAGCACAGAGGAAGTAAACAGTCCAAGAACTCCTGTAGGTATCTGAGCAATCTAACCTGCAAACTGGAACCTCACTAATCTCTGAAGATTGTTGTTAATAGATTGCAGGGATCAGTGTTCACCTTCTACTAAGTTTTTCGTCCTTCATGCATTACACAAGAGGCAAACACGTTACTACGCCCAGTCCATGGCACTGTTCTACATGGTATTATCTGTGGGAAGAAGCAGGACACATTTATGTGACAAAGGAAGAAAAGCCAGGTCAGGGAGTCTAAGAAAGTCGGAAAATTTCTCATGTATGTAGCCCTGTACCCTGGCAGTCCTGAAAAAACTGAGACTGTCCAGGGCAACTAATGGGCAACAGTCTGCAAGACTCCTGTTGGTTTTGCTGGTTTGGGTTTTTGGGTTGGTTTTTTGGTTGGTTGGTTTGGGTTTTTTTGTTGTTTTCTTGGTTTGGTTTGGGGGTGGGGTTTGGTTGGTTGGGTGTTCTGGTTTGTTGGGTTTTTTTTAAACTCATCACGAGTACTGAGATACATATGCTAAAATTAAGGCATCTTAAGTAATATGAATTAAGAAATCAGAGGGCTAAAAAATTGAGCCAGCTAGCTGACATTTCCTTAGTTCACAACTTTTGTAAGCAAGGTATCATCTTTATAAACAGAATGACGTGAAATTTCTCAAGCTATGAACCAGACAATGCCATCATAACTATGACTTCATGATTAAAATCTGTACCATTGAACTATAAGCAGCTTTCCATTCTCACTACAAAGAATTGCAGGCAATTTTAAGAAACCAGGAGACTGAAACACACTATTTCGCTATCATGGTGTGTGATAGGGAATTTTCTATACATGCCATCTTTAATTGCTTAACTTAATAAGCTATGCTAATTCAGAGCACATTCTGCTATTAATATATGAAACAAAATTTAAGTTACATATGGGAGTCAGAGCCTTTTGTCTTGATACAAGCAGTCTGCAAGAGTAATGCAGACATACAAAGCAAGGGTAGTAAGAGGGCTCTTGCCTCCTGTCATACCTGTTACACATTTAGCTGTTTCCACTCCTCACAGTGTCATAACAGCAAAATGGTTTTTGGAAACATGCCTACAAAACCCAGCCAGTATTCATTTTCTGATATCAAAGTGGCAGATTGAAACATCCATGCCCATGACTAGCTACAAACATCAGTACAGTGGGTAAACTTCAAAGAGAATATGCATTAAGCACAGCTGTACGTAATAGTTCTGGTTTTAAATTGGTTCATTCTAGTACACGCTTGATAACATTTTATAACTATAGAGCAGGAGCTATGCCTTATGTTTCTGGGATGCTCAGCAGAGGACACTGAACACACATGGGGTCCTTGCCTGCAGTTACTGTTCCAGTGTTTATCACTGAGTGCTTCCATGTGTGCCATAGCACGGTGGTGAGTGAGAAAAAAAAAAACAGTACAGCCCAGGATGAGATGTCTCTTTACAGAAAGGCAAAAGAGGGATGCAGCTCTTGGCAGCAGTTGTTTTCACCAGTCAGTCTTCAGAGCTTTACTGGTTAAGAAGCAGGGAAAGTGGATATGTTAAGTAATTATGTTGGCTGCCATTCACAGAGACCAATTACCATTTCAAAAGGAAATTTTTGGCCCAAAACTGTTTATACTGCAAACAGATTGTCCTGGTTTAACCCCAGCCAGCAGTTGCTATCTCACACCCTGCCCAGGTGGGATGGGGAGGAGAATCAGAAAAAAAAGTAAAAGTAAAACCTGTGGGTTGAGATAGGAACAGTTTAATAATTGAAATAATGACAAGAAGGAGACAGCAAAGGCAGAGAAAACCCAAGGAACACAAGTGATACACAGTAGAATTGCTCACCACCTGCCGACCAGCACACAGCCAGTCCCCAAAGAGTGATCAGTGCCTCCCAGCCAACTGCCCCTAGTTTCTGGCAACCTACGTGCAGAATAGCTATGTGGCTCATTCCGGGCAGCTGCCCCGGCTGTGCATCCTCCTGGCTTCTTGTGTCCCTCCTCACTGACAGAACATGAGAGACTGAAAAGTCCTTGATCAGAGTAAGCACTATTCAGCAACAACTAAAACATCACTATGTTATCAACATTATTTTCATTGTAAAGCCAAAACACAGAATTGTACCACTTACTAGGAAGAAAATGGAGTTTATCCTGGCAGAAACCAGGACACAGATGAAAGCTAAAATCCAGCTACTGTTAGAATTTCAAAATCCAGTAGGACTCTAGACAGGCATTTTACTTGCTTATTACTGCTATGATACAAATTGTGGGGTATTCAACCATAATATCCATGTTTATTTTAACATGGATTCATTGTATAATCAACAGATTTTAAGCTAACATCAAATCTTATCATTACATTTACTGCATTACTTTTGAAAGAAGAGAGCCTGCGTTCCAAGGGATCCACATCAGTTTGCATAAAAATAAATGCCAAAGTTTCAACTCTGAATTTCTGCCTTTTTTTTTTTAATATGACATTTAGTTAGGTATATTAATTTCCAAATGAAATTCTTGTGCAGAGGGCTATGCCCCAGTATCCTAAAGATACTACGTGGCATTTACCAGTGAAGCAATCACAGCAGTTGGAGTATCTGTTGAGAGCACACATTGTGTAAAAGCTGTAAGTTCAGACCTTAACCCATTGCCATTGACTGCTCCATAAACACATCCAGCACAGCACTGCTGGGCTTTTTACATCCAGAACAGATAAAACACAGTCAAATAATTCTTGATCTCACTGAACAGAAGAATAATCAACAGAAATTAATGATAAATGTGCTGGTTGATAAGCCCTTTAAAATAGGAACAAGTCTCTTTAATAAAAGTAAAATTTAAAAAGAAAGTAGTATGCTCAGATCAACATCCCACCCCCACCTGACTGAGTTTTAAAGGTCCTGCCAAACACTTAACATATTATTTTCTTAATATTGAAGACAGAAGGTAGAATTTTCTGGTAACTAGGTAGTATAACCATTGCAACAAAGGACTCAATACACATTGGAAACTTTGGGGCTTTATAATTTGTTGGTCTATATATTTACTGTATAAAAGGTTAAAAAAAAAATAACCTTACAAGTAAAAACAGTCTACACCTGAAACTATAGTTTTACCAACAGGCATGGAAAAAATAAGTATTTATAAGTCACTCTATCCACAAATTTTGCAGTGTTTTGATTAACATCAACCTTATTAAATAGGAGGAAACACAGGAGGCAAATATCTATTAAGTGACTTGTCTGAAGTCATGGTGAGTCAGTGGCTGAAACAAGAATGCAGACCTGCTTTCCTCTTCCTGTGTCCTAATCACTGATCCAGCATGAATTCAGGCTCCACATCACAGATCTTCACTGGGTATAATCTATAGTAATTAGCAGCTGAAGAGTGCAAGAGAGATGGAGATCCCACAGGTGGGTAACTGAAGTTTATGAAGGGCTGTCCTTTTCGGTATGGTAACGTTCACACTACCAAGCAGGATGTTCTGTAACTGGTATAACCAACTGACCAGTAAGCTCACTGTTACAC